GTAATTTCATTAATAAATGCAGGTCTATTCGCAAAACCATCTACTCCAACTTATCTAGCAAATTCTCATAGAAAGCTTTATGCAACTTTTTGTCAAAGTTTTTAACGCTTACACCATCTGAAAGGTGTACGTCTGGGACTGTAGACATAACGCACGCCACACTGTTACATGAGGCATACTGAGTTCAAAACTCGCATGATGCATTGATTTAGTGGGACTTTAAGAAACATTCCATGAATTTTTTCAACTGTCTTGGTTTGGGCTGATTTTCTTACACAAGCAGCCAGTGTCCATGAAACTGCTTCACCCACCATTCGAAGTTGTTACAACGCAGTGGTTCTTTACCAAATTTCACATTAAAATGTTTTTGAATGATGACAGACACCAATGCTGTGCTATATTCCAAAATGCTTCTCCGCATTGTGCTTTCTCCTGATGGACGGCACCATTTTGATTAACAAAGCCTGTAGCAACGGTTTTGAAACCGTAAGTTTTTTTGCTCTGTTACCAGATAAAACTTGTGTGATTGTAGTTTCAGATTCAATTTGTTTTGTCTTATTAAATCAATTGTAGTATTTCTACTGTGCTATTCTTTTTGTCCCGTTCAATATGAAACACCCTGTATATTGACAAATGTGAAGGCTTTTTTTTTTTTTTTTTTATACAATAGTATTGTGAGTATTCAAATTAAAACTTTCAATTAAGTTATGGAAATGAATCATAATTTATGAAGTGGTACTGCAATTTTGTTTTCTTAATCTTTTATCAGGATGATAATCTGCCACTCTCTTTTTTGCATTAATATCTGTCTTAATTACATGTCTGAAGCTTCACTTTTTGTCTGTCACAGTATATGAATTGTAAACTTGTAATTGTGGAACTGCAGGTGCATCCATTCTGTGTTTTATTCAGTAAATTATAAAAAACAATAAATGTATATGGGAATATCCACTATTTGTTATTAAAAGAAATAAGCACTCTTAAAGCAAACAAACAAAACAAAGTGATTATGATCATCATGTGTTCTACATCATGCAGAAAATCTTTATGTGTGTGTTTGTGTATATAGTATAAACAGGTTGAATCTGAACAAGTGGGCAAAACTTTAGAGGGTGATAAAGGCAGCCATACAAGCAAATGTATGGTTAGTACCCAAATGGCGAGCTGCTAGGTGGCATTGTAAGTGGTATAAAAGGGTTGGTCCTCACACTCAGCAGCATTTTCTACTGTGGTTTGCCGAGAGGATGGTTGGTTTATATATGGACCATGAAATGGCCAGTATGCATTTCATGTATGGTGCAGCAGACGGGAATGTGAGTGAGGTACAGAGACTTTACCAGGACAGCTTCTGATAAGACACCCTTTAAATCGGAAAACATTCGAACATTTGCATTGCCAGCTATGTAAAACAGGATTCTTCGCAACAGCCAAGCAAGACACAGTGTAGCAAAGGAGCGTCAGGACACCACAACTTGAAGAAAACATTCTGCGAAGGGTGAAAGATCAACTGAGAGCGATACCACGCGAGCGATTTCCCGTACTGTAAACGTGTGCCAAATCACAGTTTGCCATGTGCCACAGGAGGAAGGAATGCAGAAGGTAAAAGTGCTGTCACCAGTGGACCATCAGACACATGTCGATTTCACATGTTGGTACCTCCATCAGAATGCAGAGCAGCTGGATTCTGGTGTGCATGTTCTGTTTACAGAGGAGTGCACCCATGAGGGTGTTTTTGATACCTACAACTCACACACATGGTATCTATGCACACACATGCCATATTTTCTTATTCATCCAGCGGCGGCTCTCCTTAAATGTTTGAACAAGGATCCAGGATTGCAGGAATGCTCTCAACATATTTATTCTATATTTAGAACATTGTGCTCCATTAGACCTTTAGCTGATATTTACACACACACACACACACATATATATATATATCACAGACAAAAAGAACTAATACAGTACAAAGTCTCTAATCCGGACGTCCATTATCCCGAATGATCTATAATCCAGACCTCAGAGCCACAAACTTACGCATGCGCATAATGCATTTACGAATGCACATTTGATACGCGCATCCGCTACGCAAGTGCATATAGCCAGTAAAGCGTTTACCCATGCGCGCTTCCGATAGTGAAGAAAGTAACAGAGGACATTATTGAAAACAAAAAAATTTCGATTGACAAATTAGTTGGTATTCTCGACACAGCAATTACAGGACAACAGTGGAACTTTGTAACTGAACAAGAAATTATGTCTGTTTATAGAATTAAAGAGAAAGTATTAGCACAAAAAACGAAACAACTTAAGTTGATAGAAATGTTTACTAAAGTAAACAAATAAATATTAAGCTTTTTTTTTTTTTTTTTTTTTTTTTTTTGTAAATTTTATACCCTTTAGATCATAATTGCTCTTTATTTCATAAATTACGGTTTTATATTTTTAATTGTATAATTTCTGCATGCCATCTTACCAGATTTAAATTGATAATCAATAATCTGGAAAAAACCCTAATCCGGAATCGCCAAAATATCGACGAATCCGGATTACGGACTTTGTACTGTATAAGTCAAACAATAAAGTTAGATGTACACTTCTAGAAAGTTGATCATACTGCAGAGATTCAGAATATTGTAGATGCTCAGTGAAGTAATTTGGAAGAATGTTAAAGTTTTTGAGCTGGTAAAATTGATAAAAAATAGGAGAAAATTGTGCAGTTAACCCGGGAGAGATCGCGCGGGGCACTGAGTCACCCCATGCGTCGAAAATCAACAATCCAGACCGGAAACATTTCATGTTAATGAATCATCCTTCTAGTATCCTCCTGTCTGACACTCCCCTTGGAATGTGTATTGTTATTTTTACTTGTTTTTCCTTTCTCCCAGAGAAGCAATCGTTTCTTGGAATGCATGAGAGAACGGGGTGATTCAGTCACCCCGTGCGACCGTCATTGCTTCGAAATTTTTCATTAGGAGCAGTTTAGCTTGTTCTAGCTTCGTGCTTTGAGTGTTTTCGTTACTTGTTCTGTTGGATTAATTTGATAGATAATGGCTTACAAACGTAAATTTACAGAATATGAAAAAGAGATGGAACGTTTGAGAACTCTATTAGATGAAGTAGAGTCTTCTGACGAAGAAATTGATCAAGATAGTGAAAATGAATCTGATGAAGAAATATACAGTTCTCACGACAGCGAAAGTGAATTTGAGCAGAAAGATGAAGACGACAAAAATCCTGATTTAGAAAAAAATACTTTTTTTAGCAAAAACAAGACAGTTTGGCAAAAAGGAAAACCAAATCAAAAAGTGAAAACATCTTCTCAAAATATAATAACTCATTTACCAGGATTAAAAGATACTGCAGGCAGTATAACGGAGTCTCTAGGAAGTTGGGAATTGTTTTTCAATGCTAAAATGATACGATCCATTGCAGAGTGCACAAATATTTATATTGAAAAAATATCCGTAAATTACACCAGAGAGCGAGATGTCAAAACGACAAATGACGTGGAAGTTAGAGCACTTTTTGTGCTTTTATATCTGTGCGGCTTGCATAAATCGTCAAATACGAATGCGCAAGATTTGTGGGCTACTGATGACCAGGCATTGAAATTTTACGGAACACAATGTCGTATAAAAGATTTATATTTCTTCTCAGGTGTCTACGGTTATACAATGTGACCGATTGTGAATCTCGGAAAAAAGTGGACAAACTGGCGGCTGTAAGAGAATTTTTTGCCAATTTCAATGAAAATTCCCAAAAGGCTTACATTATTGGTGAATACGTCACAATCGACGAAAAATTAGGAACCCTGAAGAGAAACAAGGCTGAAATTCCCACCGAGTTTGTCGAAACAAAAAGTAGGAAAGTTTATTCTTCTATATTTGAGTTCCAAAAGAACATGACATTAGTATCGTATGTGCCTAAAAAATCAAAATGTGTAGTTTTGTTATCTACAATGCACCGCGATGATGCCATTGATGAAAGTGATGATACGAAGAAACCAGAAATAATTCACTTTTATAATGCAACAAAAGGTGGAGTTGACAAAGTTGATGAAATGTCATCATTATATTCGATAGCTCGAAAAACTAACAGATGGCCGATGGTCATTTTTTATTGCGTATTGAACGTCGCTGCAATAAATGCCCGAGTTGCCTTACTGTCAACAAAAACCCCTCCCTTACAATATAGAAATAGGAGAAAATTCGTAAAAAATTTAGCATTATCTCTTATACAGCCCCACATAGAGATAAGAAAAAATATGCCAATACTTCCTAAAGTGTTTCGTGAAAGCATCAAAAATGCCACTTCTAATGGATCAGAGGAAGGTCCATCAAAGAAACCAAAACTCAACAAAGGCCGATGTGCTATGTGTCCAAGGTCTAAAGACAATAAAACTACAATTTCTTGCAAAACATGTGATAATTTTTCATGTAAAATGCATTCTTTCTCTGTTTGCCAGAGGTGTATGCTGATTCATTATCCCTGATTAGGTATGTATTTATTTTGAATGGAATTTTTTCTTAAATATTAAAATAAGTTTTTTTAAGTAAAGACGTATAGTTTCTTAATGAAATATTGCAATTATTGTTTATAATCAAATGGTTTTTATAAAATTTATAGCACATATTCCTAATAAAACTGATTGGGGTGACCCAGTCACCCCGCGCGATCTCTATTGTCAGTGACGGGTGCGCGCCTTCTGCCGGGTTAAATAACGTATAAATCACTACGTGTATTTGAATTTCAGTATAAGTCATCTGAACGGATCAATCATTTTGAACATTGATAAAAAATAGGAGAAAATTGTGCAGTTAAATAACGTATAAATCACTACGTGTATTTGAATTTCAGTATAAGTCATCTGAACGGATCAATCATTTTGAACACTAGTGTACAGTTTAATATTATATTTATCCATTTTCTTATATTAAGGCATAAAAATGTATATAACTGAGTTACTTATTGCTTTGTAAACCTTCTTTTACATGCAGCTGTTGAATCCAATAAAGGTAAGTGTTGTTTCACTGATAGAATTCAATATTTGAATCTATTCAGATTATTATGTTTCCCTGATTGTTATCTAAATATTCATAAACTTTTTAGGTTACGACATTAGTTAACACTAAAGGTCCATCTAAAAAGAAAAAAGGCCGATCAAAACGTGCTCATATATTAGTAGCAGCTGTTGAGAAGGCAACTGAAAATTTTATTACTAAAGGAGAAGAAATAGCACGGGAAAATCCCGACATTCAACCAGAAATGCTCTTAGCTGTAGATGAGGTTAGGAAGACAGGAGAAATAATGAGCAAATCATCGAGAGAGTTTGCGGAAGATCCTTGTTCTTCAGTAAAGAGGGGTACTATGGTTAGAGCTGCAAGGAATCTTCTCTGTGCTGTTACTCGACTCCTTATATTGGCTGATATGGTGGATGTTCATAGGCTTTTAAAATCACTGCGATCGGTATGCATTTTATTATTATTAGCTTTTTATTTGTTGGTTTCACCAACAGTTTTTCTTATATGTGTTGAAGTTTAGTGTATTTGTATTTTAATTTAGTTACAGTTCATTTCTGAAGGAAAGTAAGGTTTGATACATTTATGGTATTTATTTGATAAATTAATAATTATTTTAATTTATAGTTAAAATTACCAGAATTCTAGTTATGTATCATCGGTTAACACTGAATTTTGATTTTCCCATTTAGTGCTCTAAATATACTGCATTGAATGGAAAAATCAATGCTGTATTCTTTTCCCCTTAATATTTCATGTTTCTAGATACTTAAATTCCTGGACTTAAAAATTCATTTTTGGAGGTTTGATAACATTTCTTCACATATTTGGGTAAATAAATAAAGATTAATATTTGGCTGAATAAAATTGGAAAGATTTTATGTGACTGTATCGTGCATTTTTTTTTAAAGTTTTATTTCACTAAATTGTCATGATTTGTCATTAGCAAGTATTCATTTATTTTTATTACTATTTTATGCTTTAAGTTTTATTCAATAATAAATTTGATGTTATTGGGTTCTCTTAATTAGTTTCATTAAATTTTAAAAACATTGAGTTCTCTTAAGTCTGGGTAAAGAAAAATTTCTGATATTTCAAACTAAAAGCTTGCTGTCATTGTTTAGTTTATTTATGCTTCCCCCCCCAAAAAAAATTTTTTTTTTTAAACTGCAAATGAAATTCCATTTAAGTAACAGTTTTTAATTGCTATTTCAAATAAATTTATGTTTCTTTTTATAGCTATTTAAATAAATAAAATATTTCAACATATTTTCGTGAGTAATTTTTATCTTGCTTGATTTTTTTATTTCTTGGTTTATGAATGTTTTACAGTAGTGATCTTTTAGGGGGAAAAGTCTTTTCTAAATAGTATTGAAAATTAAATAATTAATTTTGTATATATGTGCTTGTTTTTTATGGCACTTTAAAGTTTATGTTACATTTCTGTTTCACATTCCCTGTTTTTTGGCTTTTAGTATATCAACTAATGAAGATAAGATTAGTCCTAAAAGAGGTTTGTATTAGACTGTCCTACAGAATATAAAAGTCTTTCAATACATATTTTAATACTTCTGCATACATATATATGTACATAATGATTAAAAAATAGCTAGCGAAAATGTGAAAGTAGGTTGAGGAAATCAAAATAAGCAGATTTTGTAATGGAGTGAGTGTGCAGAAATGGTGCATTGAGTTGGTACTGGCTGTAGTGTAAGGTAAAAGCATTCTGTTGGGTTAAATCATCATTCTCCATATGAATTCTGAGTATTATATGTTGTTAACATGACACAGAAGTCATTGACAGGCAATTTATATATGCAGCAGCAGCAAAAGTGGAGCACCTACTTAAGGAGGTACAGAAAACATTTTCTAAGTACTTCTCAGCAGCTGTTCTGCTTCCATCTGCAGTCCCATGCATAAAAGTAATATCAGTGAGCTCCACATTCATGTAGTAATGCATGTCAAACAGAATTCACATGGGGTGTGATAATTTATACCAGCAGAATGTTTTTACCTACTGTTTAGCATTATTCCTTTCCTGTTTTGCACATCATTCCAGTTGATTTTCAAACTCTTTCAATGTGTTCTCCATTGTTTGGGGCATTTCATTATAATGGCCTTAACCTCTAATAATGACCTCATAATTAAGGTCATATGTTACAGAATTTAGCTACCTGCATAAAGAAGCTTAGAAGTGTTGTTATGAAAGACAGAGCTGATCAGAAAATTAACTCCCATAATATTCCTAAGTTTTTTTAAGTGGGAAATTTGTAAAAGATCATGTTTATCACGGAAAATCATAAGCTAGACTCAAGCTTTCAGAAATATTCTGTCTTTTTATAGTTGAAATTACTTAGCATATTCAAAGTCACAATGCTCTTTTCTTTTTTTTTTTTTTAGCTTATTCAAAGTCACAATGCCTTTTTTTTAAAGGTTCTCAGTTATGATTCTTTGGATGAAGAGAGTGAAGATCATTTATCTATATTGATTATTTATCTATATCATTCATGTCAGCTATCTTCTCAAGATTTTTTTAGCAACTATATTAACTTTTAAATGACCATTTCCTTTTTCTGAAGATGTTTTGCAAAGAATGTGAACGTTACATTATACACAGTTCCTTGCTTTAAGTTTTGGTTTAATTTTGTTTATTAATTATGGCAAATCACTCGAGGGCTATCTGCTTAAGGGGAGAGACGTCTTCATGAAGGACTTTCTAAGGGAAACTGTTTGGTATACACATTACACATAGGCTGCTGCATGAAAATGCCCATGCAGCTAGCCTGTTCAGCGGGATTTGAATCTTGGAACAAACTACCATTATTCAGCAACTTGACAGCTTGGCTGCTCATATTCATTCCTTGCTTTACAATTTATCATGTGCAGACAAATTTTAAATGGTTATAATGGTTTAAAAGTAAATAAATTTATTTTACTATATTCTTGTGAAACAATTTTGTGTAATAGTGTATTTTTAAATTTGTGTGAAATTTTCAAGGTTTAGAGAATTTAAGCAATATTAACAGAAGATATATATTAATAAAAAATGTATGGTTTACTTAAATCTATATATGTATATACTTACCCCCAATAAGTAAAATAGCCATTAATCTAATCAAATAAGTATAAAATAATGTAAATGCAGTAATAGGGTGAGAAAAGAGAAATCTGGCAATTTAAAATTCCTAAATCATTTGGAGAGGGGAAGTAGAATTTGCCCCAAAGTGAAGGTCCTGAAATGAAGTACAAAAGTTCCCTTAAGGGTGAAGTTTGGATCATATAATTTGTCATCTGACAGAGTGATGCATTCATCTGTTATGTTTTTAAGCAAATAGTGAAGTGCACTATGAGCAATGGCTTAAAAGGTTGAGCAGCAAATTATGCTGTAGTGTTGCATTTAAACATGGGATTGGGGATCGTTAAAACAGTAATGCACGAAATACCGGGGAGTACATTTAAAGAGACTGAAAATTGAGTGGAATGATATATGTACCACTAAACAAGCTGTGCAGAATTTATTTAAAATTTAACGCATATGCCAAAAAAATGTTTGTACAATTTGGTGTAATCCGAATGAGCATGTTCATCACTATTGTCTCCAGAATTCACTGAGACCACCCCTTGCATATCAGAAGTTTGTAATCTGATGACAACTTTAATTTAATGAGGGTGAACTAATTTGGAAAATTAAGGAAAGCTTTTAACATGTTAAAATTATAAAGTTTACTTATATCTCTTAAATATATATATATATATTAAGGGGTGTATGTGTATTAAATAAATATAGTAATTTCAAATAAACCTGATTTTAAATTTCAGATTAGTATAAAACGGTGCAAACAATCAGTGTACAAAATTGACATAAGTAAATTAAATAGTCTTGTGGTAAATTTAAGTTAATTTCAAGGAAAGAAAAATGTTTAAAAATATTAGGTAAAATAAAGCTGAACAAAAACAAGTATTAATAAATAATCATTGAAAAGATTAAAAAAGTGAGAAAACAATTTTTTTATATAAAAAACTTCTTACAAAAATAAAAATAGATTTTATGTTGTATCTTGAGAAATGTAATAGAAAATTAGCCCGTGCCTGAGCTAACCATTGTACATTAATAGTGCAACCCTGAATTAAAAAAATTACTTGGCCTAAATTTAAAAATATATTTAATTATCAATATAAAGCAGAAGTAAACTCAAGAACAACAACAATAACAACAACAAAAAAGTGAGGAATATAGTTTGAAAAGTGGTTTTAAAGTTTTTAAATTTTGAAATGTGGGTGCAAACAAAAACTATAATATGGAAAAGGCAAACAAAATCTGACAGTAGAATATAGTCAACAATATACCAAGAAACTATATTTCTTATTGAGGATATCAATAAATAAATAATAGAAATTATTGAGTATAAACTGTACAAATCAGTAAAATAAACTTAGATAGAATTTTTAATTGTAATTAAATTGAATAACTAACCCCCCCCAAAAGGGGGAAAAATCCCTAAAAACAATTTAACCAGAGTATATTTATTGTGTAGAGAATTTAGTGCCCGCTTAAATCAAGCTAAGTATTTAATATTCTGTATGTAACATACTAATTACATATATATATATAATTAAAACTATTTTAGTTAGAAATGTGGAGGATGCAAATTTTTTTGCCTTAATGGTTTCTTGATGTCTTCTTGATGAGAATGAGGCTATACCAGCAATGCTGCTCTGTTTTTACAAAATTAGTAAGAAAAATGTGTTGAAAATTACAGATAGATTTCTATTGAAAAATGAAATAAGTTTGAAAAGTTAAAAGAAAATATGATTTATGTGTCCTGTCGTTCATATGTCTTTAAATTGAAATAAGAAAAGAAAAGTAAGAAAATATTACAGAAATATAATTATTACAAAATTGGAAGACTTTTGTCCATACACATATACATATGACTATACACACGTTTCTATATATATATAGAAATAAAATAATTTTTAAAAGGAAAATTTATAATCCTTCCAAGATTTTTTTGCGAGAGATTTTAATTGGTTTCAGTGTTTCCTCCTCTTGATGATGTGGCACTGAAATTGATTGAATTCCTTCTCTTTCATTTTCTTTTTTATTCATTAATTTGTTTTTATTTGTTTGAAGAATTTTAGTTTTGGTGTTTGCTAAATATTTTTTTACATTTATAGGATTTTTTTAATTTATTGCTTATGAATTTCAGCTTTTGGTCTTTATGAAAAATTGGTTCTAAATTTCTTTATCTGTATGTGTGTTTATGATGTATGCGTTGACATGTATTATATCTGATATATATTTCTAATTATTTGTTTCGTGTTAATTTTAAATGACATTAGTTTTAACAAAATTTCTCAGGTTGAAGATGATTTAGATAAAGTTAAAAATGCATCTAGCCAGTCTGAATTGATGAAATCATTCCAAGATTTTGGTAAAAACACTGCTGAATTAATTCAACAAGCTGCAAAAAGGCAGGCTGTAAGTATAAATTTTTAAACTATTCAAAGTTAATTAATATGTTTGTGGAATAAAAGTTGAAAAAATCTTTTGTACTTAGGAATTAAAAGATCCTAGATTAAGGGATGACTTAGCTGCAGCAAGAGCTGTTTTAAAGAAGAATAGTATGATGCTTTTAACTGCTTCTAAGGTTAGTATATTTTAAGATGTTTTATATTGAGATTGAATAGTTGTTAATTTTTCTTATATTTTCTAAATGTTCTTTTCAATTTTTTTATTCATTTTCATTTATCCATACTTTTTTTAGATTCTGATGCTTTTCAGTTGTTGAGTTGTTTAGTAATAATTTTTTATGTTTTAAATTCAGAAAACCAAAAGTCCACATGGATTCAGATCTAGAGTTATTCAGATATTAGAACTTTGCAGATTTTATGTCATACATAAATAATTAAGCATAATAAAAGTATGAACCATAATAAATAAAAGCAAGTTTTAAAAAATCACATAAAATATTTGTTCACTTTTTCAATAAAGTAATTAAATACATTATAACTGTATATGAAAAGAAAATAAGGGATTAAAAATCAATTATTTTTTTCATTTTTCATACATCTGTTTCTGTAAACAGATGTATGAAAAATGTAAAACTGTATGCGGGACCTGCAGTAGAGGGTTGCAAAAATTTTTAGTAGTTTTGATATTTCTTTAACTTTTTATAATAATTTTACAGTTACCATATGTTTTTACACAAAGATAATTCAATACAGACAAAGAAAACGTTTCAACTCATTCTTTTTATAATATAAACAATCATTTTCCTTGCTTTGCATGTAACGCTGTCATTTTGTCTGTTACTTTATAACGTTGCGCGCCTCCAACTTGCACGCAACCAAGAGGTGACTGTGAAAGCTGTATAAAACACAGAGTCTTGTAAAGGGTTTAAGTCCCTTTTTATTCAACGTAATAAATTACAATTGCGTCCTCTTGACGCTTACAGACGGTGCCAACTCAGCAGTCAAATAAAAATAATAACCTGAAAAGAAACTAAAGACAAGATTCTAACTACGAGGCTCTCACTAACTCACCGCGTTTTACAATACCGCTGCTAATTCAGCAGACTTGAAGCTCACTGGACGAGATTAACACTACTTCCCCCAAGCACATAGGCCGAAACGCGGGGTCCTTCAAATTCTCGCTAACTACCTCCGCGCTCGCTAAGTAAGAATATCACACACCGAACTCGTTTCCTTCTATTTAAATCATAATACTTCCGCTGATAATTTGAATCCTTGCGCGTTCTACTAAAATTTACATATTCTGGCATTGGCAGTTCCAGGGGAAAGTAAGGCTTGACAGGAAAGATAGTTTAAACTTAAAATAAATGTTAGTTAAAACAAATATAAACCCTACAACTTATTTAAAATTTGCACATTGTTCTATGGCTTAAAATTAGAAATTAAAGTTTATGACCTAAAATTGCAATAGTATATTACAGTACACATAAAAAAATTGACATTTTCACTTGCGCAGGTGTCGGATTTGCGCAATACTTATGGGGTTCCATAAAATTTTTGTAAGTATTATGGGGTCCTGTGGGTCTCGAAAAAAATCTCGGTGATAAAAACGGGTTGCAACTGAAAAAAGTTTAAGAAACCCTGGTTTACAGTAATTAATTTTGAAATTTTGGGATGTTTTACTTTGAAGCCACCCACCTTCTCCTGAAATCGTACAGATTCATTAATCATTTCCTAAATAGCTACACAGATTAGTTTTTTGAGGAAGGTGTTATTGTTTGCAGGAAAATCTTTAGTTTATTTGAAGCTTACAGTTCTGATGTAACAAAATTGTTTTTAGTTCTAATTATAAGTTAAAATTTCTAAACTTTTCTGTTAATGGGGCAACAGTCATCACCAAACGTAAATGGTGTCATGAAATGTATTGGAAATCCTGAGGATACACTCAAGACACATCATTACTCAAAAATATAACTGAATGAATATTTGAGAAAAATATAAAGTTTTGCAAAGCAAATAATTCATCAAACTAGTTTTGAGTTCACATTTTTTTTTTCTCTCTTGCCTTGATTATTACCTGTAGCACTATTGTAATGCTGTGTTAGAATTTAATGACAGATTCTACATATTTGACAGTTGCTAAATTGTAAACTCCATGTAGATTCCTTCATCAAAATCTCACGTAGAAAGTATATGGATCAAGACATGGTGACTAATAATGAGTGATGACGTTTTGAATTTTAAAATTGTCGTCGTTGCTATGCTTGTATAATTTTTTTTTTAATATTACATTTTAGGTGCTGCTGCATTAATCAAAGAGTTGCGTAACTGCCAACTACTGCAGCTGTTCATAAGATAGAAGTAATCTTCAGTTATGAGTACAGTTTTAGTATCATTTTTTTCCCAGGATAAGTATTTGGCAGGTTTTAAAAGCAATGATGAATAGAATATAGTAGTTTGCTTCAATATTAGCCCTACCAATGGACTGGGGTCCATAAATAGGTAGACTGATTGAGACGGCCTTGGCCAGCAGTAGGCTGTAGTGTTCCAGAAGAAGAAGTGGACTGATAGTTCATCCTGGGTTCGAACCCAAGTGAATGGGGGGGATGCACAGCTGGCTTTCATAGTTTTCCTCATATGTAGTATGAATATGTGTCTGTTCCCTTAAAATGTCTTCTGCAAAGATGTTGCTTCTTTTTGGCAGATAACCCACATGTGCTTTGTCATGATCAAATAATCTACCATTATTTCATGTTCAGTATTATATGATGAAATCTGTTAATGTCCAAAATCATCATTTCTGTTTCACTGTTGACATCTAAGAGATTAAATTTCAGGCATTTATGGATTTGCAGTCTTCTACTGTTTAGGGGCGTTCATTTTTGCTTATAAAACACATTATACTTTATATAAAAATAATATATAAAATTACTAATTGAACTAATTTCAGTGTAGATAGGCATAGTATATCCATTATGATATATAATTTAATTACCAATGCTTTGCTAAAATTTTAAATGTTCATTATTTATTAGATATGAAAATGTGTAATGTTTTTTACAGCTAAGTAACTTTTATACGGAAAACATTTGCCTTATTTGTGCTACAGATACAATTAAAATACAATCAGAATCTCCATTGAAGGCATTCTGGAAAAAAAAAAAAAAAGAATAAGATTAATTATCAGTATTTGTCCATGCAGTACAAATATTAAAAACATTCTCAGTTTTGTCAAAATATTCTTAATTATTTAGAAAGAGGGTATAAAATTTGGCTTTATATAATTTTAATTTAATAAAAGTTTTATTCAAGGTAGAAATGTAAGTGTAGGTAATTCTAAGTTAATTTTCATTGTCTGTCTGTCTTATGAGCTAAAATTTAACATATTGTTCTATTTAAATTGTGCTTATTCAAACTTCTGTGAAGTCTTCTAAAAAGTTATCCTATTTAAATACCTGCAGCTAAGGCTGTTTTAGTTCGCGCTGATGAAGTAGACAGAAGTGCCAACAGAACTGAGTATGCTGTATAGTTTTTAAGTATGTGAATTTACATGTAAATATTTGATTTGATTAGTTTTCCTTCTGATCGGTTTAGATGTTATGTTATACCAAAAGTTTTTAATCCGTGTGCTTTCAAAAGCTTTATTTCAATCTTCAATCAAAAGCATAAAAAATACTATATACAGCAATAAAATTTATGTAAATAAATATCAAAATCACTTCTCATATATATTCCAAAGCACTATATTTTTTTTATTCTTAGACAGTATAGATTTTAGAGTACATTGTGAAATTTCAGTAACTCCAGAATATATAACTCTAAGCAAATAAAATAAAGGAAATGAAACTTAAACACCCAATAAGCAACTTTTATCTTTTCATCCGTAAAATGGTTGTGTTAATGTTTAAGTACCAGAAATGCAGAATGTGAATGACTGATTTTCTGATATTGTTTTAGGAAAACCATGTTCTTAAAAAGTTATGCTGTATGTATCACTGGCTTGGCAAAAAATGCCTTCTTTTTAATATTATGTATTTGATGCACTCAAAGTTTATTCCCCATAACCTCTGCTTGCTAATGAACTCAATTATTTGAGATCAATTGCCATTGACCGAGGATGTTCTCCTGTGGTCATTGATAAACGCTTTTAAAATATTTGCTTGCCATCAAAGAAGACATTCCACTACCAGATATATGAAATTAATAATCTTGCCGTGCTTACATTTTATCCTTCTGTCAGTTATAAAGTTGCACGGATTCTTTAGAAGTTCAATTTTCATGCCATTTTTTTGCCTATCAATAAAATCCATGGTTTGAGTCTGAAAGATTCTATTTCTGACTTTAATTCTTGGGGAATTTATAGCGTATCGTGTCAGTATGGCTTGAAATACATTGGCCAAACTAAAAGAACATTAAAGTTTCTTATGAAGGAATGCGATTCTTATGTCCAAAAAGGCGAAATTAACAAATCTTGTATAATAATTGTTAATAATTGTTGGACATTTGATCATAATTTTGATATCGGGTCTGCAAATATATAATTCAGAAAGCTTCTTCAATTGCTGAATTGGATTTTCTTGAGGCTTTTCTTATTCACAAAGATTTATATTGTTTAGTTAATGACTTTAATTCCAATCCAGTCCTTGCTGACACTTTTAAAATTCTATTAACTTAGTTTTTAAATTTTGTTAATATTTTTGCTGATAGATAGCACTACCTTCTCTTTCCCTTTACTTTAGAGTATAATAAATACAACCGTTATGCCCATTGCTTTCGAATCTTCTAGATTTCTTTGCTCCTGATAAAGCAAGACCTATACCTGTTAACCCTCGAAATCGATTGAGATCTTGCCACTCAAGGTTGTTGTATTACTAATTATATGTTGTATAATTGAATTCACCTGACTTCCTGACTTGTATATAAATAGTATGCTCAAGTTTATAATATTTTATAATTCCTGTAGTTTGGATAGACATTGATAATAGAGTTGAAATTTTTTTAATCTGTTAGATTAAAAATGAAGAAAAAAACTTTAACAAGGATAACAGTTGGGATTTCCTATGTTCATTCTTAATACTAGAGATTGGACAGATTCTAAATTTTCTCAAATTTGAATCTGAATCTTGGAAGATTCTAAAATTTAGATTCAAATCCTTCACATAGAAATAATAAGATGAAAACTTAATGTAAAAGTTTTAAATTAAAATACACTTTTAGTGAAAAATCAGTTTTTATTCTGTGCATTATGTATATAGTCAATGGATATTTTTATTTTTTATTTTAATTTTGTAAATATCTTTGCTTATGTTTATCTACATTCTCATTATGTGTTATAGTTTTCATCTGAATTGTAAAATGTATGCAAATTTTCTGTAGGTTTATGTTCGTCATCCAGAATTATCTGCAGCTAAAGAAAATCGAGACTACATTTTCCGTCAGGTATGTGAAGCTGTTAACACAATTAGTGATGTTGCTCAAGGAAAATCTACAAGTGGAGCATTAGGTCAACCTCCATATGATGGCCCAGGAGAGTTAGCTGCTGCTTTAGACGAATTTGATGTAAGTTTTCTTTTAATTATTTTTTCCACTAAGTTTTAGGTGTGGATTTTAATAATCTGTAGCTGATGTTTTGTTTTAATGTATATTTTTTCTTCTGATTTAATATTCTCTTAAGAATTTTCTTAAACATCTAACAAAGTTTTAATAATGTTGGTAGCAAGAAGTGTATAAAAAGATTAGAGCATTTATGAGCTTTTAAAATTAATTTTGTATATCTAGGAGCGAATACTGATTGATCCTCTAATGTACAACGAAGTTCGTACGCGTCCTGCCCTTGAGGAACGACTTGAAAGTATCATCAGTGGTGCTGCTTTGATGGCTGATTCTTCGTGTACAAGAGATGAACGCAGAGAGCGAATAGTTGCAGAGTGTAATGCTGTTCGTCAAGCTCTTCAAGATCTGTTGTCAGAATATATGTCAAATGTAAGTATTTTATATTGTTTACACAGTGATGAAACAGTATGTTGGTTATGAGAAAAAATAGAATTTTAGATGTTTTGATTATAATAATTAGCTATTCTAAATGCTATTTATTATCTTTGATGCAGAAGGTAAATTTTTTTTTTCCAACTATTCTGTATTCAATAAAAGTTCTGTCCATCATTGAAAATGTAACTTTAACTCTGGAGACTTGACTAAGTCAACTTTCACAGCCTTTATTAAGAAGCCAGTTGTGAGAATAGTAATGATGAAATAAATGTTAGTAATTCTGTTATTATTATGTACTAAAATAAATGCATTGCATAAAACTATTATACAAAATTGATTTTGCTGCTTTAAAGAGCTGGGCTATGATATCGCAGCCCATTAAGTATATAATCACAAGTTAGTACCTAAAACTGAAAATTGAATTTAGTAATAAAAAAAAATTCAAACAACTGAGATCTTGCTATGTGATTTCTGGTTAGTTGTAATTTTGATTAACCTTTTCGCTATAGATATAGTCCACTTCATGGAAGAAATAATGTGGAGACAGTGCCCCATCCTGCACTAAACAAATATGAGTGAATGGTCATTCTTGATATGGGAGCATAACACTAGTTCTTATTACAACATTACTTCTTACACATTTCAAAGATGTTGATTAAGATTTGAGACAATTTAGGCAGACATATTTGTCCTTCTTCAGTCACCCCTGTTTCTTCATAAAATACTATAAATAATGCCATTTCAAAGCTTCAGTGTTGCTGATGGTACACAGGAAATTACAGCCATTTGAAAGTATAGCAGTGGTTTTCATTTTTTATGCTTATGTGTGGCTTCTGGAAATTTATATATAACAGGCATGCATCTTGTTTGTTAGTAAAATGATACTTTTCAGTTAGAAGTAGTATAAAAAAAAATACTTTGCTGGAAAGACTGAAGAGTTGCTAGGTGTTTTCACCTATTTCATGTATTGTCAAAATGTGTGATGAGCATATGAAATTTAAATATGAAGCCATTTGCAAAGGAATAAAAAAATTCCAAAAGATACTTTTAATCATGTTTATTATTTTAGAAAAGCAATTTTACTGTAGTTAATAGGCACTTCAAGGCAGTCATGACCCTCTGTTCTTATTTACAATAATAGTGTGTGTCATCTTTACCACACAGAGCAGATAAGATTTTAATAAATTAGAAAACTGGGCCCTCTTCAGCAGTAATCATTACCATGGTTATGAGGCTACCCGAAAGAGAAAAATGACATTGAAATACTATTCTGAAGTAACAGATTATAATTAAAATTAGAGAAGCAGTCATATAGCATTTTAATGCTTAAAAATTAAATACTTTGTAGAAGTGAATCGAATTTATTTAGAAGCCATACAATTTTGCACTGAGATATTTATTATATTACACAGAAGTATTATTTTCAGACAATTTTCTAGTTTTTATATAAATCCCAAGGGATGATGAAGAAAGATTAAATGTTAACTCACAGGATGAGAAATACTAGCAGGTTTAATTAGAAGTCATTTAAACGATGTTGTGATCTTTTGTAATAGATAATAATCAGTTAGTCTGTAAATAATACATAGAATTTCAAATGTCTTCTTCCCCTCTTTTTAACTATTATTCAATTTCTGGAGCAGACTGTAAAAGTTATTAATTAAATATATTATAAACTATACAAAATATATATTGTATTAAAAATAAGGTCAAAGTTATAAAGGGTATACACAAGCTGCATAGATAGATATTTCTCCCCCTCAAGATTAATAACATTTGGCAACTTCTCAGAAATAAGAAATCAGCTGTTATTAAAAAAAAGAAATATAAATCATTTCTTAAATGTATAAGAATTTTAATAATTAATTATTATAGTTATTAAGAAATCTATATAATTTCTTTCTTAATTTCTAGCATTTCATTAAGGAGTAAGTATCAGTTTTTGAAAGCCATAAATACTGTACTAGATACCACCCTCCATCCCCCCCCCAAGTTCCCTGTCCTTTACCACTTAATGTCCATTGATATTTTTTTCTCTTGATTTCTGTTGATTTCATTTCTGAAATACTCTTTTAAAACAGTTTTAAAAACAAATACAGAAGAGGATAGTTGTATTTATTGCATCTTAAAAGACTAAAAAAAACAGAATTAAAAAAAAAAAAAAAGATTTTAAAAAAGAAAATATCGTAAAAGACCAAACACCAGGCATAAAACTAAAAAAATGGCATTTAGCTTAGGCAGAGCATATCTACTTTGGGAATGCACATGTATTCACATGAATTCAATCAAGAAAGATGGATATTGAGACTTCTTAAAAATATGTATTTTTATATGCATGAATATCTGCATATAATGCAATCTTAGTTTGAAACATTGTTAAAATTACCTATAAGGTCTGGTAGTTTTCCCATTGATGAGCAATTGAATGACAGTCAGTAAGTAGTCTCCAGACTATATGGTTAAAGCGTAAACATTATTCTATATGGTGCTTTCTTTGATTATTTCTAAAAACTGGAAATTATTTTTAATATAATTTTTTCAATTCTTTATTTTAATATGCAGGTTATCATTGCAGTTTTGTGGAACCATAATATTTAAAATTCTTAAATGTAATGCTAGAAATATGTTTTCAGGCTGGAAGAAAAGATATGTCTGAACCATTGGACAAAGCACTCGATCACATGACACGAAAGACCAAAGATTTAAGACGACAGTTGCGAAAAGCTGTTGTCGATCATGTATCTGATTCATTCCTGGAAACAAATGTGCCTCTTCTGGTTCTTATAGAAGCAGCAAAGAATGGTAATGAAAGAGAAGTAGAGCAATATTCTCAAGTATTTACAGAACATGCAAACAAATTAGTTGAAGTAAGTAAAGAAATTAGTTTGAATTTTTCTTCTCAAAGTTTTGGATGTGTTCATTTTGTTTTATATACTATGTGTGTGAAATTTTACTTTCTTAAGAAAATTACTTATAATTCTTAAAATTAATAAAATTTACACTTTGTATATTTTTATAAAAAGGTAATGTAAAATGTTGAACTTCAGTTTCTAACTTGTCATGCTGTTCTGCTACTTACATTTATTTTGCTATTTAGATGTGGGAAATATATTTTTTTAAAGTTTAGAGTATAATTATTCATGTTTATAATAATTAATCATTGCACTTAAAAGTACGGGTATCTCTTACTTTACAAAATTTTACTTGAAAGGCGTACATTGAAAGAAAAATTTCACTTTTTCACTATTTATGAAGTGATTAAGACCAGTATAGCTTTGATTTTGAAAGTGCTTGCAGTATATGTAGTTTTGTTATATATTTTATGTGCTAATAAAAATAAGAACTGTAAACTAAGACGAGGTATGTTAGTCCAAGCAATGGGTTCATGTCATATTTTTGGCACACATTGCCATTTTAAATGTAGTAGTCTGTTAAATGCAAAGAATGTTAAAATAATAGAAGATAATTTTGATTTTTGTCTTTTCTGGTCTGTTATAGCCAAATTTCTGACAGCACAAGCTAATGTTCTGTTGTCACTGTCAATTACTACTAAACTTTCAAATATTCTAAAATGTAAAAGGTTAATCTCTGTTTACTCTTTTATTTCTAATGTTAAAGGTCATGTATGCATCATTCCATTTTTGCATTTAGTATTACTTTATTTTTTATGTATTTCTTGGTATGATAAGCTTTTTAAGAGCCTGTGAATGTTCAAAATCTTTTGTCATGTAAATTATTTATTTATTTATTTTGTCTCATGGCATTTCTCTAACAAAAAGTTATAATGTTTTGTAACATGGAAATGCTTTACTTTAATAAAACAGATGTATTTCATGGTTACACTTTTTAGATAACATTTTGTACATATAAAAGCTGCTCTAATTCTTATCTTTTTACTCTGTTTACAGTATTGCTTTTGTAAGAAAATTCGTGATTTACTCCACTGTGATTATGCGTACTTGGTACACTTTCAGTAATATTTTCCCAATACATTATATCTTTCCCTCTTTAATCATAAGTGTGACATGTTAGTTCTGAGCTGCTATTCATGATTTTCTATACGGTTCGGGTCATCATCTTTTAACTCACTACATATCCCTGTTCTCAAGCCAAGTTAGAATGCATATATGACCATATGCATGTGTATGAGAGGAAGTATATGCAGTATATCATTATCTAGAATGACTTAGGAGTAATTCTGAAAATTTTCACGATTGTTCTTTGTTAGCAGAATGATTATATTCTAATACCATAGCTTCAGGAATTAATTTTACTAAAATTGTAAAAAGAATTCCACCATAATTATTTAAATCTTCTCCAGCTATTTCAAGACTTCAAATCTGAATAGTAATGGTAGCATGTAATTGTCTCATTTCCTCAAAAATAATTTCACAGGCCTTAAGCCTAACAGTTGTTTGCATGTGAACATACAGTAATTTTGGTTTTATCAAATTATTCTATTAAGAGTTTAACAGCTAAATAATAATTATTTTGCATTAATGTTAGCCCTTGTGTGTGCTTTTGTGCAGAATCCTGTAAGAAAAATTTTAAATTGTTAAATTTGTCAATTTTTGATAATTGTTTATTCTTATGAATTGCACTTCCAAATCCCTGCTATTTTTGTATTTGCTGTTGAAAGATACTGTTTTTATTTTGGCAGTTTGACGTTAGGATAATTAGTAACTATCCCGTCTTCAAAAATTCTAGAGGATTCAATGTAGGCATCAATTTTACTTTTGTTTTCATGTGTGCACTTAAAGTACGTTTGTAGTTTTGATTTGAAAACTAGACTAGATTTGAAAACTTTTTGTGGTATTTGTGGCTTGTTCAAACATCAGCTTCAAGCATTTCTGAATCACTTGTAATGCTTTCTATGGTAGAATCTAGGTGTTAGATCTGATTAGCTTTCTTTTCTAACTGATGCTTTAAATTAGCTGTCTTCAACCTTTCACACCCGAGGGCCACATCAATAAATTCACAAAGGTCCACAAGCCACATCAATAAATTCACAAAGATCCGCGGGCCACACGTTTGTCAGAAAATTTATATAAAAAAGGGAGGTTTGTTTTACAAGACTACAATTAATTCTAAGCGAAGAGATAGTGTTACAGATTTGTAATATATACATTGGTTCTAAAAAGTCAAGTGGAAACCGAATTTAAATGTTTTGCAACATTTTTTAACTATGGCAAAAAAAGTATAAAGATGATTGTACAGAACGATGTTGCAAAATGCATTTACATTGCAAAATGCATTATTAAAAAAAAATAAATGCATTACTGGTGGGGATTGTAGTTACTTTAGTTTAATGCAAAATTTGACATTGTTTATTCTTGATTAAAGTTTCAGTATCCAGTTTAATCTGTGTTGTTGCAATCCATAAAAAGCTGTTGACATATGCAGGTACTGCCAAAGATAGAAGACATGAAGAGTGCATGTTTACGAATTCCTGGATACTTGTCTTTGGTCACGTCCTTCAAATAAAAATCAATTAATGTAGGATTTTCAAGAAACTTGCATTTTTATTGCAGAGTCACTTTGTAAATCTATAAATTCTAATTGAAGTTCAGGTGGAACACTTCCAACGTCTACTGAAAATGGTTAGGAGAAAATTCTGATAAAAATTTCATTTTCACGAAAATCTGCTTTTGAATACCTCTTTCAAATTTGAAATGCATTGTACAAAATTATTTGAATTCCATGTTGTAAAGTTCTTCACACACTCCATCAATTTTGGAAAGTGAGTGGAATTCTTATTTAGCAACTGACTTGCAGACAGGATTAATTTTGTCTCAAAAGCTTTCATAAAATAATACAGATTGTGAACAAGTAGATCTTTTTCCAGTAAGCAGTAGTTCAAATCATTGAGATCATTTTCAGAAACTTTTATTTCATATAATATCAGGCATGTCAATAAAATGCTTTAAATATCAAGAATAAGAGAACAAAAAGTTTTTTTTACGACAAAAAGCTGACAAGGCAATTTTTCTTGAAACCAAAATTTCTTAAAATTCTTCAATGCTTCCTCAAATTCAAATGTGGGGCCACTAAAATGCCTTCAGCGGGCCACGGGTTGAAGACCCCTACTTTAAATCATCCAGATCATAATCAGTATCGTCTCTTTAATGTGTTACTTATTTTACTCATACATTATAGTTGAAGAAGTTGGAAAAAGCTTTTTTTTATACTCTCTAACATCTCTAATTCACTAGGTTGTGCCATTTTCAATTTCTAAGTGTTCAATCAACAATCTGTTGAAATAAAATAGACAGTTCTTATGTGGTTCTTGATCTGATGAGCTTTAGGGACAGTAATTTGAACCTATTTTAGATATTAATCCTTTAACATAATCAGGGACAACTTAACATCTTAGCTACATTCTAAACATTAGCAAAATTTTAAAACATTTGGGGCGTATCATTCCCACCAATTGTCTAAAGTGTGCAGCAATATATATAGTTTCATATGTTTTCTCATTTTATTATGTTTGCATGTAGCTCTCATGTTCCAAAATAATAAGTTATCTCTCTGTTGAATATTATGTTTCTTATCCTTTTAGAAATTAGATTCTAGTAAAATATGTTAAGTCTGCCTAGTCTGTTCATAAAATTTGTGGATTAATATTGTTTACCGGGCAACACTTACACAGTACCAAAAGCGTGACAGTCAGAATGTTCTTATCCTTTATTTGAGTTTTATTTTTCTAAGGCATATAATGAAAAATTGAACTAATAGAAAGATACTTTCTGATTATGCACATTCCCATTTCATCACTAGGTTGAATTGCCATGTTTTTGGCATATTTTAAAGCATTCACACAATAATAACCAATCCACACATATGCATACTAGACGTGGATTTACATGCTATTTATTTGATCATCATTACTGTATAATATATACTGTAAATATTAGCTATATTGATTTTTCAGTTTTTTTCTTGTAAAGTTTTTTAGTTTCTCATAACATGCTCTGTTCTGTTATTTATGAACAGAACAATACCTGTGGCCTAATTCACAAAATCACTAGTGAGTTGGTGACTTTTCATGAGGGGTAGAGAGAATGAAAAAGGGCCAAAAAAGAAAATCAGTGTGTAAAGGAGATTTTTTTTTCTTTATGAAGAACAGTGTGTTAGTGAGTTACTGCGAAGTTTCTCAATAAACTTGAGAAAAATAGAAATTAAATTTGCCAAGCGATGAAACAGATTTTTAGAAGTGTGTAATGCTTCGTTCTAGCATATGCATCATTGTAGTGAGTTAAAGCTTGCCAAGAAGTGTGAGAAGGTATAACTGAATGATATGATAGAAGATAATGTTCAACTGATTCATTTTCTGTTGTGTGTGAAATTCAAGTATAAAAATAACATTTTTAATAAGGAGATTTTAAATGGTGTGTGTTATTTTCAGGTAGCCAATCTTGCATGTTCCATGTCCAACAATGAAGATGGTGTAAAAATGGTTCGTTTTGCTGCTGCACAAATTGGCAATCTCTGTCCTCAGGTTTGTGATATTATTTTTTCTATTTAATGTTCTGTCAGACCAAAACTTACCAGTTTATATGTGTTTTCCTTATGTGTATCTCATTAATGTCTTTGAAGATGTGGCAATCTTAATTAGATGAAATGATAGAAGTGTACACTTAAAAGTTGTAAAAGATGTTCTTAATCAAATAAAATTACCCTTCATTTTAAAGAACATTCTTCAAATGAAATTCTGCTTCATTTTTTGTTACAAGCATTTAGGAATGTAATTATTTATAGTTTAAATATCTAGTTCGTATTTTATCAAAAGACTGCAAGATAAAAAAAAATGTATCTGTAAAATCTCTGCCAGTCAAATTTTGCATAATTTTAAACTTTGACAAATTTCTGTTCCATTTAGACTGGGGAGGTGGTTATCAGGGGTGACCGTAGCACAGCTCGCAAGCTATGGCCTCCGAGTCATATGCCGGTGGTACGACTCATGTGCGAATAAAATAACTGTATGAAATATGGTGAACTTAAACTAATCTATAGCCAAACATAATTATTTTATTTCATTTCTTGTTAAGAAACTTAATAATGTTGTTCAAAAACATAAGCAAAATAAATAAATAAATAAAATAAAATAAAAATGAAAGTAAAATAAAAATATTGTACTCTAAAAATAAAAATAATTTTATCAAATAGTTTTGAAGTCTTTGGAAGTTAGATTTGCTTATGAATGCTTTACCAGATGGACGGATTAATGCTTATAGATGGAAAGGTCTGCCAAATTTCTGAATCATTAGTAATGGTAGAAATTAATTTGGAGTGGTCTGTGAATGGAACAGGAAATGCATGTAATGCATCAGAAACATTTAAGATCATACAGAATTTGATACAATTTAGCAATGATTTAGAATTCATTTTGACGTTCAAATTGATGAAAAAAATTTTTGTGTGGTATTTTTGACTTTTTACGATTATATTTTTTAATTAAAACGGATTTAATTTCTGCTCGATTAAAACTTATTTTACTTCTTGCCTTGTGTAAGAGAAGCAGAATGCAGTGGTTTATATTAATATGTGAGAGTTGACTGTAGTAAGGTGTTGCAAATAATTTAATTGAAGAAATGAGCTTGAACGAAATGAAATTTCTTTTAATTACTTTCACATGACACCTCATCAATTCGATGATGAACTTCTAGGGTTAATTGAACTATTTATTCAAAAGCAGAAGACTAATTTTTGTCAGAATATCCCAGAAACGAATCGTTTGGACTATAGGAATAGGATATCCCAGGAAAGGATTGTTGTATATATCTAATTTATTTATGAATTTTGTTGAATAATTAAAAAATCCTAATTGCATGATTCTATTCTGGAGAGTAAATTTTTCATGTAGTAAAATACCATAAATGTATTTGCATGATGTGTGAACTTTTCCTTAGATAAACTTCCCTTAATTGGTTTAAATAATGCAATAAAAAAGTATATTTTGTTTAAATATATGTAGGATTTACAGCATTACTAAATTAAATGTCACACTTAAAAAAAGCAGTTATTTTTAAGTTAATAAACATAAATTTTTTAAAAAAATATTTTAGTTTTTGCCTTATTTTTTACTTTAAATGCAACTGTAATTACTTCAATTAGTCATTCATATATTAATGAACAGCCACTATCTAAAGGTTTATTTTATAAGGTCACTTTTATCTAAAACTCATTGAAGTAACTGCATTTTATATAATACTTCTTTGTTTGCGTTAAAAATTGAATTCCATAATTAGCAAATTTGCTAATGCTCATGCAAAAGTTTTTTAAATTAATGAAAAATTATCATCAAGATTAAACCTGTCGAAAAGTGGTCATGCATGTTAAGAAAAATAAACATGAAGCCATTAAAATGCATAGAAGTATTCCATGAAATCAGATACATGCTAGCGAGCTTCTTTTCTGTATAAGTAACAGTTTTTAAAATTTTTTAAACAAATGGTTTACTCGTCACTACTCGTTTAAAATTTAGAACTTACTAAGTTTTTAATTAGATGAAACGGCAACTTTATATTAATACCAGTATCGCTTTTGCTAGTCTCATGTCAGCCGAAATAGAATCAGATCACAGTAGTCAGATCTTCTTATGAATTATACCAAAGGCTCGTTGTCAAAAGAAGGATAATGCACACAATGCCGTGTGAAAATTAGGTTTGTATGAATGATGAATGAAATGAAAAATAAATGCAAGTTCTTGTGTCACCCCCCCCAAAAAAAAGTCGCGGTAGATTAAAAAAAAAAAAAAGTATACTGTACCATCATCAAACGTAGGAAGCAAGGCTTGAACCCACAATACAAGCCCCTAGTGAGAGCTGAATTTTTACTTGAGCATGTTACATTCCCGCTAAGGTACCTTGCGGGTAAGCGTCGTTTTCACACTTCACTTTCAGGAAACTGAAAAAGCATCTGGGCTGCTCTGAAACTAGCTATAACATTTTCTGTAACTATTTTTTTTTAAATACCAATTCCATTACACCACTCTGGTGGCGCTTGAATCAAAGTCTTTTGAAACATTGGCTTCTTGACACTTAAGAAGCCAACGTTTCATCCACTAGGCAACACAAGCAACCTTAAACTAATGTAGATATTTTTTTAAAAAATTCAGAATCTGGGATTTCGAAATCCATTACTATTTTCTTGCAACAATCTATTGCTTCAGATTATTCTGTAAAATTATCAACAATATATCACTTATGGTTGATTATTAAGGTTTATTGCTACTAATAAATTTGAGAATTTTTCTTTAAATAATTTATAAAGCTATTTATTCTATTAGCATATGCATTATTTATATTTTATCTTAAATTTTTATTAAGATTAGTCCATTTGAGTTTTTTTTTTTCATCAAGAATTTCTAGTGCAATAATTTAAAAACCATGGTATAAACTGAACGTTTGAAACGAGATGCCTGAAACTGACGCATCAAAAAGTTGAAATTAAGTCAACTCACACGGTCTCCGGCCATCCGGCAAAATGCCACCTCTGAACTCGCTGATTGGTTAACGCTTTATGCGTGACCGCATTGGTGTGAACGCAGCTTAACAGGGATGGCCAAACTTTGTTTCAGCATTCTAGGAAAAAATATAAAATAAAAGACTCTAGGTTGTAATGAAGGCATTTTGAGGAAATTTACATTTATTTATGGAATTTTTGTAGTTGTAGAAAATGTTTAAGAATTTGAAAATATATCAGCTTTTATGTCTGAAATGTATTCTTCCACCCTTCCCCTTAAAATAATCTTGCATAATTTTAAATTAAGGCCTTTGAGATTTAAATTGCTAACAAATGAGATGACTGCTTTTATAATTTTACGCAGGAAATTTATTCTTGTATTCATTTGGCATTTCTGCTATGAATTTGATATTTTATGTGCTTAAATATTTGGAGTTTTCACATATATGGTATTCAGTCTTTCCCTATGCTTTCCATGTAGTCAAGCATTTACTGTATATAAACAATTGATTATTTATTTAATGCACTTATACAGGGTGAACAAAATGGCATTAAGGTCATTGCATGTATTGTTGTATATAGATTGTCATAGACTGAGCATTATTAAATGTAAGATAATGTAATGTTTAATGCACTCTTGACACAAGAATACAAGGACAGCTTATGTCATACAGAATGCTCACCTATAAGAAATGAATTTAGTTCACATGTTTTATACATCATATGTAATGCACATAACAATCTTTGAGAATTGTAATAGGAACCATTTAAAAACATATTATACTAAGCTAATGGAAGTGCACTAGAATACATGATTAATTCTTGCAAAAAATAGCTAGGCAAACATAAGATTAAAATACCAGTATCTAAGTATAAGTATGCAGCGTCTTATACTTATCAGTTATTAATCATTTTGAAATTAATAGTGTGACAAAGTATTATGCTTGAAAATTTGTACCAATCAAGTTCTGTTACTCATATAGTTAGTTACTGCAACACATGTTTACTGTACTATTTTAGGTTATAAATGCTGCTAGAATTTTAGCTGCCCGTCCTCGATCTAAAGTTGCTCAGGAGAATATGGATGCATTTAAAGAAGCCTGGGAAAACCAAGTGAGAATTCTAACTGAAGCTGTTGATGACATAACTACTATTGATGATTTCTTAGCTGTGTCTGGTAATAATTTTAAAATCACTTTTTCCCTAAGCATCAGTACTGCTGTATTAGTAACAGAATAAAAATAATATAGAATGATAAGTGCTGATGTTTGAATTAACTATGTGATAATGCATTTATCGGTAAACTTGTGAAATCTATGGTGTATAAACTATTATAAATTCATGCTTGAAACTAAATCTTGTAACTTTCCTCTTTTTGGTATTGAAATAATGCGTAATAAATTTAATTTCAGCCGTCTATTTTATCAGAATGTATCTATTTATTTGCCTTTTCCCCAAGCTAAATTTCACCATTGCATAAACAAAAGTAAATACTGCTTCTTACTGTTTTAGGTTTTTTGAGCTTTTTCTTTCATTTTCTCTTGCTCAGGATTTTAGTCATGCTAGGATTTGGAATATTTGATGTACATTGAAAAATCTGCCCTCTGTTAATTTTTTTGTTATTTATAATATTTATTAATATCCATCACAATGAATTTTTTATGAAAAATTTTTATACTGTGTGTTTATTTTATTTGTATTTATTGGTCTTTATTTTAATATAAAATAATTCTCCTGCGTGTAAACATGAAAAGATAAAATTATATACCAATATTTAGCAGTTTGTGTTTGTTACAAAAGTTTATTTTTTGTTCGCCAGATACAGTTTGAGATTTGATTTTTGTCACTTCTGTGTTATTCAGCATCCCAGGTTATCTGACACTGTTCATTAGTCCTATTAATGTCAGGCAATTGAGAATCTAGTCGATCATCTGAAAAGTTCTGCAGTTTTTCAAATTAACACACATTTTTACTTCCTTGTACGAAGTAAAAAGGAAGTAAAAATGTGTGTTGTTGTAATCACAAAAAGTTTCAGGCAGCATATTTCAACGAAAATATCCATTTTGACTGCTATTGAATGAAATTTAACGATGTTTTTCCGTGGTATCTGTACGTAAGAACAGAATAAAAGAGTCATTTCCTCCTAAAAAAATATAAAACTCCTTTAAAATAAATTCTGAAGAGAATTTTTCGTGGCATCTGTACGAACCTCGCATAACTCAAAAACAAGTAGCCTCAGAATGTTGAAATTTTGTGTATATGACTGCTATAACATGTAGATGTGCACCTTGTATTTTGGTTGCAATCGGACGCACTAAACGCATATAAATATATTTATATATATATCCACTCTGTCACCCGGCTCAGTGATCTCAGTTTCTTTACTCTTATATGTTTGTAAATTCTACATTTTTTGCTTTAAAATTGATTAAATTTTGTCGTTTTTATCTTCCGGTTAAGGTTTTTGTGGATTTAGTAAATCTGTATGCAATATTTTTAGAATTATCAACAATTTTAAAGTTCTTTAAGTGCCGCTAAGCCTAATAATGTTTTTGATGGCGGCCATTGCTTGTTTACATTTGAAACAGCAGACTAGTGGATTTGTTGCCAATCTAGAGAAACTTAGCTTCGCAACAACAAAAATAACGCCTTCATTTATTATTGCCATCCTTTCTGGATTTTTTTCAAGGAAATAAGTGTTTAAGATTTACTTCATAATTTTTAATATAGATATTTTGAGTCTTTTGTATTTTTGCCATCTCGCGGAGTGAGAACTGAATTAATTGAATGAGAAATACTCCATCGTCTGTGAAAAACCGTTTCTTTTTTGTTTTGTTTGCTTAATTTCTTTTTATACATCATTCTAGCTTTATTATAGTATTTGAATAGAACATGTGGCAACGATTAGATAATTCTTTAAATGATATAAATTTTATGCATTCTGAGTTATAATATGAACGAAATATAATACTGTTAAGTGAATCTAGCACCAGAGTGTCGCTATGGTAAACAAATACTAGAGTGAATTTTAAAGAAAGCATTTATTCTATTGTGGTTTATGCGCTGTCGGCGAAGTAGATTTAATTCAATCCAATAAGTTTAAATGAAATGCAAGAAAAAATGCATATAATTTAATATTCCATACAAGGAAGTCATGTGGTGTACACATCAGATTTTTTTTTGATTATTTTAATGCTGCTAAGGAGTTACCAAGATTGGAGCAAATATGTTTCCACTCATGTTGCATAATTTTTCTTTCAGTACAGCATTAAGAACAGAGAACCCAAAATTTCATTTTTGTTATATTATACTCTTTCGTTATAAAAAAGGAAAAATTGCTAATCAAGCTGTTTATGAAATTTGTGCTGTGTGTCATTAAAGGGCTTTTTTTGGATCACACAGTTCAAAAGTGGATTGAGAAGTTGAAAGGCAGACATTTCATCCTCCAAGATGAAGCCTGCTATCGATGACAATCCTCTGTAAAAATAATCTATGTATAAAAAGAAGCCATTGCTAAAAATCTATATTATGTAGTTCAGGAACTAACAGACAAAATAAATATCCCCAGATGTACAGTACGTGATCATTTGAAGAAGATAAAGATATGCAAACCACTACAATGTATGGGTACTCGATGCTTTAACAAGGCAGAATATGCTCGCTTGAGTTTCAGCATGTGACTGTGCTGTGAAAAAAAAAAAAAAGAGCTTCTCTCTCTGTCTCTCTTTTTACACTGGTGTGCAAAAATTAAGGACGAAGTCGAAAAATTAGCATATCAGCTGAACGAAGAGGCAGAGCGGACAGAAAGACCAATCAGGAGATTAAGTCGGGGATGTACGGTAGCACATGCATAGATATGCAGGTAGACGTAATGGGGGAGTGTCTGAGTAGTATAAAGCATGTTGTCGGTGTTAGATCAGTATTTCTGGCAAAGAGATTGCACGCCGTATAGTAGTTAAAATCACACCGAGTTGCTGCCTCAGCGAGAAATGGCGAATAATGAATCTGTTAGACGATATCTGGATGCTTTTACCCGAGGTCGAATCATTGGGAAGTTGGAGGAAGGCCGCAGTGTGACAAGTGTGGCTGCAGAGTTCGGAATTGCTCACAGCATCGTTTCACGACTTTGGAGACAATTTCAAACTACAAGGACAGCTATCCGGGGGTTTAGTAATGGTCGTCCACGAGGAACCACACCCGCAGATAACCGGTATATTGCCTTAGACCAGAAGAAACAGGCGGCAGACAGCGGGAAAAATCGCTAGACACAGGCGAGTGGACGACCGATATCGCGTTTTACCGTGGTCAGAAGACTGCACGGTGGTGGTCTGTTTGCACTACGCCCTGTACGGTGTGTACCTCTAATGCCTGCCCATCGGAGAAGGCGTTCTCTGTGGTGCCGGGAACACCGGAATTGGAGAGACAATGAAAGGGGACGAGTACTCTTCACAGATGAGAGCAGATTCAGTCTGAGTAGCGATTCTCATCGCATACTCATCTGGAGAGAGTGGGGAAGCTGCAATCATCCCTCGAACATCATTGAAAGGGACAGGTATGGAGGTGGCGGTGTTCTCGTTTGGGGAGGCATCATGCTTGGTAGTCGTACAGACCTTCACATCTTCGATGCAGGTTCAGTCAACGGGACCCGTTATTGTAACGAGATTCTTCTTCCATATGTGCGTCTTTTTAGAGGCGTTATGGGTCCGCAGTTCCTTTTCATGGACGACAATGCACCATGTCATCGCACAGTAGCTGCCGAACAGCTCTTAGAGAGTGAGGATATTGAACATATGGATTGGCCGGCACAATCTCCGGATCTAAATCCCATCGAGCATGTATGGGATTTTCTAGGCAGACGCTTGGCAGCTCATACCTTACCACCGGTAACGATTCCGGAGCTTCGATTGGTGCTGCAAAACGAATGGGCAGCAATGCCTCAACAACTCATTGACACCCTCATTCTCAGCATGGGCAGACACTGTGAAACCTGCCTAGCAGTCAGGGTCTTTAATAGGGGAGATCATATCCCCTATTAAAGACCGGATGTTTCTTGCTGGACACCCATCACAGGGATGTTTCGGCCTTCAGTCGCATTGCGCTCCATGCTACTTTTTCAATAAAGCTTCTTTTTATCCCTCTGATTTCTCTTTTAGTAAGTGTTGCTTACATTACTCATGTCCTTACGTATTGGGGATCTTATGGTATTAAATGTGTTGATTTGGAAAGCTTTTGTACAAAGTTATATTGAAAAAAACCGTCTCATCCTTAATTTTTGCACACCAGTGTAGTCCAAAGGGGCTTTGTCCCTGAAGGACTATTGTTTTCATTTTGCATTGAATCACTATGAACGGCGAATCACTTTTCTGACTGTTGCCACCAAATGTTAGAGTCCTGTATTATATTTGAAGAAATTAAATAATGAAAAAATCTGCATAAATAATGTATATTTCTCACATTGTGATAAAACAACGGTACCTAGAGACACCAAATTTTGAATAACGTAGTCCTCCACTCGAAAATGAGCATCCAGAAGCCCAAATTTGGAATTTGTTTTATTATCTATTTCATATTTTGCAAAACGTTAAGGAAAGTTTTAGTAACAAACTCAATATTTAAAAGCGAGGAATGGCAACACTCTATGGGGGGAGGACTTTTTATCTCCAGCACACGGAACTGTGTATTGGAAATTCTAAAGATATGCTCATTTTGAAATTATTTTGCGACATTGCTATTGAACTTAATTTTATGGTTTAAGTGCAAAGAAGTATTTAATAAATAAAGGTAACACACAAAACGTTAAAAAAACACCCCTTGTTTTGTAAAAAAACACTCAGTATTGTTTTCTGTATGGTGGATCTACACAGGAATTGGCCCTCCAAATCAAACAACAAATTCAGAAAATTACTGTTTCAAAATGGCAATTTTAAAAATGGAAGTTTGAAACAAAGCACCCACAACTAATCAAAGTGTTGCTTTCCGTCATAACAATGCTCAGCCTCACATTCTGATGAATGTGAAACAAAGATTAATTGAATAATATGACTGGAATAATTTGTCATGTCCTGTAGTCACTAATCTTTGTTCTCTTGGATTTTCATCTCTTCAAGTCACTTCAAAATTTTCTGAGCAGTCTGAGCTCACTTTATTCACTATCACACAGCACCTTAATGGCTTCTTATGAATAAACCTAATGACTTTAAAAAAATTATTTTCTTGCTGCGGGAGAGATGGCAAAATGGCACAGAATGGTGCTTTTGTGTTTCATTCAAAATTTCTTGTTTTGTACTGCTTCATTTGTATTTTCGTAAAACTGCAGAACTTTCAGGATGACCCATTACTTTAATGCTAGTTCCTCCCCTCCACTTCCTCAAAATTTCACATTAAGAATTGTGAATCTTGCATTAGACAGAAATGAATAATGAATTATCATATCACTAAACATTGGTGGTACTTCAACTGTTATTTAATTTGAATTCATCTAAAATTTATAACTAAGAAAAAAATAAGGCAGTACTTTTTAGAAGCATTTTCAAATAAGAATGTGGTTTCATTGCAAGTTTTTATACTGTTTCATCTAGTTACCTAAAGTGGACTACTATTCTTAGAATTGTTTAATTTCTGAATTTTAAGGAATGGATAACTTCTTAACTTCTAAACATATTGCTGGTTGTCTGAAGTACACTTTTTTTATTCCAGAAAATCACATCTTAGAAGATGTAAATAAATGTGTTCTCGCATTGCAAGAAGGAGATGCTGATACTTTGGACAGAACAGCAGGTGCCATTCGTGGGCGTTCTGCTAGAGTCTGTAATGTAGTTGCGGCTGAAATGGATAATTATGAACCTGGAATTTATACTGAAGGTGTACTGAAAGCCGTAGCAGTTCTCAGAGATCAAGGTAATTTAAGACACAATAACACGCCGAATAAATACTAATTCAGAAGACAAACAACAAAAATCAGCGTTATATTTACAAAATTTCCACAGAAATTTAAAATTACAAAATTTCCACAGAAAACTAACTGTGGGAAATTTTGTAAATATAACGCTGATTTTTGTTGTTTGTCTTCTGAATTAGTATCAAGGTAATTGTAAAATTATATTAGATGTGCATGTAATACTTGACATTTATATACCTTAAGCAATTTAATTGTTATTTTTAAGCAAAGTTCTTTGGTACCTCTGTATTATACAAATACCTTATTGTAGTTTGGTGATATTTTACAGAAGAAAGGCAAATATAACTTATAATTGTGAAACCTTATTTTATACGTATTATTACTTATATGTCTTATATTTTTATTAGATATTTATATGAAAAATCAATCAATATACTTACATACAAACAGGTTCTCATCTCTTTTCCTGGGATAAAATTGTATGGTGATCAGTTCTAGTTGTTTCTTTTAACAGCTTTGTTGCAAGATGCTGTGTTCCTGCAAAAATTCCATAAAAAAATTCTTCTGTTACAGGCAAATACTCGCATATTTTAAAATTGAGTTAAGGTAAAAAATATCACAAACTGTGTTAAAATAAACCTGTTGTAACTTGAAATACAACAAAGCATGATAATGGCAATATTGCTTCTTGAAATTGGAAGATTATCCTGCACTTGGTTGCCACAGTTTGAACCAATTTGGTTGTTTTGTGATTTCTGCTAAGGTGACTGTGCTAATATATGTAAGTACCATTTTGTTGTGTACTTACTGACTTTTCACTGTATGCAAGAAATGCAGAGATGAAATAAGCAGTGGTTAAATGATTTCACAAAGTGCTGGCCAAGGGATATCTAAGCAGACTAATTAAAAATGTCTGGATTTATGTCCAGAAATTAAATGTCTGGATTTATGTCCAGAAATTAAATGTTTTAATTACTGGATTTTGTCCAGTAATTAAAAATTTCTGTCTATTTAATGTCATTTTGGTGATAGAGGAGAGAATTTTTTGTTAATTTGAGAAGGGAAGTAATTCATACTTAATTTGCTTAAATACTTAAATTTGAAATTTGTGAGGCACTTTGTCCCCTTTTTAAATTTGGGTATTCCTTAGCTTTGGAATTGCTATAAAATTAGTTGATTACATAATGTGACGATTTCAGTTATTTTAAGTTAAGAATTATTTTTTAAAACAAAGGAGGATGAATTACCATTTTGGAGAGGTTATTTTTTTTAATCATTTATACTAAGTTGACTTTGTAAAAGTATATAAGAAGTTGTATATACTTTTCCAAACAAAAAATATTTTCATTTTTGTTGTTTGAAAGTGTAGGTGATCACTTTAAGCTTGTTGTGTTATGCTGCTTAATTACATTTTTTTTTTTTTTTTAATTTCTTCTGACTTTTGAATGTCCTGTCTGCAATAAAAAATAAAACCTAATATATAGTAGACTTCCAATATCTGCAAATGCCTGTTATCTGCATTCAGTTTTCAGTGTAAAACAAAATTTCAATTTTCAGAGAATTTTATATGGCAAAGTTAAAGGCAGTTTTTTTAATGTGTGTCTGAAAACAAACTTAAAACATTTACAACATATTTGATTTGAAGAAACAAATTTATCTCTCTGAAATTATTTAGCATTTTCTGCCCCCACATTCACCAGACTGTTTTTAATGTCAATCATGAATCTTAGCAAATTTTTCACTTTAAATGAGTTTTTATCTTAAAATACAAAATCTACAATCTCTTAATATTAAATTTATGTGATTAGTTTTAGAATTAAATGACATGTTTCAAGAATTTGTGCACAAGTTTTAGGTCATTGTGTTCAAACGTAGATGCCCTTTGCAGCTGGTTTGTTTACACTCCAAACAACAATGGCAGATAGGAATATAGTAGTTAGTGAGACTGGCTGCCATATTGTTGGGCACAATGAACCTTAGAACTGTCATTGGTATACTTTTGTATAGAAATAAAGCTGGAACTATACAACTAATGGTGGAATTCTGGAGTCTTCTGCACATACCTGTACCAAGCTTATACATTCTGAAAAAAAGGCCTTTGTGAATTTTTTTTATGTTAAAAATAGAAAATATGCTTTTAAAAAAAGGTCATGGCCAGCTCAAAGAACAGAAAAACTGTTTTTTAATAAATCCAAAATTTCAGTTTTAGCACTTTTTGCAATATTATATTTCTAGTTGCATAATGTAGAGCATAACGCCAGAATTCATGTTGGAATTAAATTTACAGAAATCTTTACTGTTGGGAATTTTGCAAACAGCATACATATTAATTTTTACTTCCTTGTATGAAGTAAAAAGGAAGTATTGTAATCGCGAAAAGTTTCAGGCAGCATATTTCAACGAAAATATCCATTTTGACCTCTATTGAATGAAATTTAACAATTTTTTTGTGTGATATCTGTATGTAAGGACAGAATAAAAGACTCTTTTTCTCCCAAAAAATTATAAAACTGCTTTAAAATGAATTCTGAAGAGAATTTTTCGTTATGTCTGTACGAACGTATGTATATACATACATGCGTATCTCGCATAACTAAAAAACGAGTAGCCTCAGAACGTTGAAATTTTGTATATAGAACTGCTATAACATCTAGATGTGCACCTCATATTTTGGTTGCAATCGGCCGCACCAAACGTACATATATATATATATTCACTCTGTTACCCGGCTCATTGATCTCAGTTTCTTTACTCTTATATGTTTGTAAATTGTATATTTTTTGCTTTAAAAATGATTGAATTATGTTGTTCTTATCTTCCGGTTAAGGTTTTTATGCCTTTAGTAAATCTGTATGCAATATTTTTAGAATTATCAACAATTTTAAAGTTCTTTAAGTGCCGCTAAGCCTAATAATGTTTTTGATGGCGGCCATTGCTTGTTTACATTTGAAACAGCAGAGTAGTGGATTTGTTGCCAATCTAGAGAAACGTATCTTTGCAACAACAAAGATAACACCTTCATTTATTATTGCGAATTAAATCATGCTTAATCTTTTCTGGAATTTTTTCGAGGAAATAAGTGTTTAAGATTTACTTCATAATTTTTAATACAGATATTTTGAGTTTTTATATATTTTTGCCTTGTCACGAAGTGAGAACTGAATTAATTGAATGAGAAATACTCCATCGTCTGTGAAAAACCATTTCTTTTTTGTTTTGTTTTCTTAATTTCTTTCATACATCATTCTAGCTTTATTATAGTATTTGAATAGAACATGTGGCAACGATTAGATAATTCTTTAAATGATATAAATTTTATGCATTCTGAGTTATAATATGAACTAAATATAATACTGTTAAGTGAATCTAGCGCCAGAGTGTCGCTATGGTAAACAAATACTAGAGTGAATTTTAAAGAATGCATTTCTTCTATTATGGTTTATGCGCTGTCGGCGAAGTAGATTTAATTCAATCCAATAAGTTTAAATTAAATGCAAGAAAAAATGCGTATAATTTAATATTCCGTACAAGGAAGTCATGCGGTGTACACATCAGATTTTTTTCTATTGTTTAAGAGGGTAAAAATTACTTTTTACTTCCACAAAGGAATCCATATCTGTCTAATATGCTTAATAACATTTTCTTTGTATGTAAGTAAGTATACTTTAAAATATAATTGTTATATAAAAATATAACATATTGTTATGTGTTTTTTTTTTTTTTTTTTTTCTGACACCAGTTGTTACGTTATTTTCTTCCTTCACGTTCGTACGGGGTTCATGTGGATTTGGAGTGAATAACAACGACACTCGAAACACACTTTAGCCGGTTTTAACCATTTGACTGCTACACGGCGCAAAAGCACTGCATTCATTAGTCTCGAAAACCGTGACTGTGCTGCGAGTTTCAGTGTGTCTTTGTTGCTCCGTGGGTGTGAACGTACGTAGTCTGACTTTACGTGTACTTTGTAATATGAGTGCATTCTAAGATAACTAATTGCATCACGGTTTTCGAGACAAATGAATGCAGCATTTTTGCTCCGCTTAGCAGTCAAATGGTTAATCAGGACAGCTTCAAAATCTCGTTTACAGTCGTCGAACCGTTATAAACACAATGACACAATTAGCGACACAGCTTTCAGGTTATCAAGCTATCACGGTGGAGACAGCTTCACTGCAATGCACTAGTGTACAGCTCTCGACTCTTCTTGCTTGTTCTCGAAAATCTACATACTGTCGAGACTCTCCATGCTACAACTCATGATGCACTCAACAACACACAAAGCACAGCTCCTGACTCTTCTCGGTTCAGTCATTCCCGGAGCTCAACATGTTCTCTTGACAATGCACTAACCGCGATATACAAAGAGATTCTTTCGATGCACTCAACAACCCACTTGGCACTCGCTGCCCGGCTGTCAGCTCGATTGACTCCGCATGGACTGACTAACTCTCCATGAACCAGCAGGTTTATGTAGTTTTCGGCTTGTGTTCGAGAACATTCTAGGCTAAACCGGTAAGAATTCATTCCAGAAGGTTCTCCATCCGTCCATGGCATATCGCCAATTTTGTCGCCAAATGTGGCAACTCTAAACTTGCTTTGTGGGGAAGCTATCTCACCACGCCTGGACATTTTGTAACACTGCTTCCTCCCAAGGACTGCACGTCCCGGGTAGTACAACCCTTGGTCAGAAGCATATTTCAATACAAACAAAAGGTAATAACACAAAAAAATTACATAACTAAAGAAACAATATTTACACTATGTACAAGTTATATATGTAAATTAAACACATAACAATTTCAAATAATACAAATTATTAAAGTTCTGAATGAATTTCAGTTTGTCTTTTCATTTATACCTGTGCCAAATACTTTTCTACTGGAATTCTCAGATGTATGCTGGTTTTGCATATCACAGTCGGGAGATTCAGTTCTTTCAGACTACAGGAAAATCTAAAGCCACTCTGTTTACCACTGTGTAGTTCATTCACAGCATGCGTACAGTTTACCTCAGTAATTTTAGCAGATGCTACATGCTTATTTACCTCTGTTTCCTGAAAGCCAGTTTCAATGTTTGTACCAGGGTCATGAATAAAATCCGATCCTTTACAAGCAGAAGTATCCAGGTTTAGAAGCAAGTCCTCAAATCCTTGTCCACTATGAGACACACACCCAGTTTGTGAAGTGGGTGAATTTTCTTCCAATACTGGAGTGCACTGCTTAAGCTGCACTTCAGCATCTCCCATCTCTGCATCATATGCATTGTCAGATGGTTCAACACTTACTGCCTGTGACTTCGTAACTTCACTATCAGTTTTAACAAACTTAACAGTCGCATTTTCACTTTTATCCACTTCAGACACTTGTGAATCAAAAGCTTCTTTCCCATCTTTTATTTCTTCATGTTTTCGTTGTTTTCCTTTAATCCCATTAGATTTTTCACACATCATTTCTTGATCTTTTTCAGGCAGTTCATTAGCTACTTCCTTTGATTCTTCAGATGCCACTTCTCTCATTTCCACATCGTCTTTTATGGCTCCAGTTTCTTCTGTAAGCTCCCCTTTCATCTGTCGGAGTTGCTCTCTCACCTTTCCTTGGCCGACATTTATTTCTTCTCATTGGGTTTTCTTCTCTTCCAGTCTGGCTTTCATCTCCTTCTGTCTGGCTTTGATCTCAGGTGTCATCTCTTTATATCCAGCTTTTATCTCATCATATCCGGCTTTTAACTTTTTCAGTTCAGCTTTCACCTCTTCCTGTCTGTTTTCTCTGCCATGGCTTTTCTCCGAAGGCGGGTCACGGGCATTCACTCGCAAATCGCATTTCTGTTACCAGTTGTAACGTTTTTTTTTTTTTTTTCTGACACCAGTTACGTTATTTTCTTCCTTCACGTTTGTATGGGGTTCATATGGATTTGGAGTGAATAATGATGACACTTGATGAAGTATCGAAACACACTTTATTGGCTGGTATTAATCAGGATAGCTCCAAAATCTCGTTTACAGTCATCGAACTGTTATAAACACACTGACACGATCAGCGACACAGCTTTCAGGTTATCAAGCTATCACGGTGGAGACAGCTTCACTGCAAAGTACCAGAGTACAGCTCCTGACTCTGCTTGGTCGTTCTGGAGACTCTCCACTCTACTACTCGCAATGCAGTCGACGACACACAGAGCACAGCTCCTGGCTCTTCTTGGTTCAGTCGTTCCCGGAGCTCAAAACTTTCTCTCGACATTGCACTAACCGGGATATATGAAGAGTCTCTTTCAATGCACTCAACGACCCGCTCGCCACTCGCTGCCCAGCTGTCAACTCGATCGACTCCACATGGACTAACTATCTTGCACTCACTCTCCGCCGCGTACCAGTAGGGTTTATGTAGTTTTTGGCTTGTGTGTGAGAACATTCTGAGCTAAACCATTAAGATTTCGTTACAGAAGGTTCTGCATCCGTCCATGGAAAATCACCAATTTTGTCGCCAATTGGACTATTTCTCGCCATATGTGGCAACCCTGCATTCCCTTGCCATTTTATGGCAACTCTAAACCTGCTTTGTGGGGAAGCTATCTCACCGCACCTGGACCTTTCAGTAAATCAGATGAAATAATTCGTAACGTTGATTGATTAGCCTCGAATTTTCTTGCAACCTAATGCTTATTTTAGGTTGTATTTTTTATGTTGCTATTTATATGTATGTTTGTTTTAATTTTTTCTTTCTTTTAATTTAAATTAAGCGGTAAAAACTTACTTTGAGATGATTTTTTATGTTATATTACTTTGAAATCAGAAATGAAGTTTGGTATGATTTTCTGCTGATATGGATTTGAGCAAAACAGTTTTTAGAAATCAGAAACTTTGTGTTCCATAATGAAGTTGCTATCATTAATATTTTCTGTTTTACATCTGTATTTTTTTATGCCTTGTTGTTTTTGACTAGGATGATATCTTTTAAGTTTAAACATCTGAAATATAATTAAGACACAATAACACGCCGAACAAATACTAATTCAGAAGTCAAACAACAAACATCAGCATTATATTTTCAAATTTTCACAGGACTAGTTTCGATGGTTTTACCGAACCACCATCCTCAGCTGCAAAAGCGCAATGAGCGTTGCTCTTTTGCAGCTGAGGATGGTTCTGAATTAGTATCTGAAAATATCTTAAACTGGCATCTGCAAGGTGGAATAAAAAAGATTTGATTGCAGCATTCATCATTTAAATATTATCTATTGCTTAGTAATTATTTCTTGCACTCGAAAATTTTTGTGTGCTGAAGTATTACTTATTTCACCCTATGAGTGACCATCATTTCCTTTGCCATAGTTATGCCCAATTTCGCATCAAGAGTCGAAATAGCTGTTGAAGCTCTTAGTTCCAGTCCACCAAAAGAAGTAGATGAAAATGAATTTATTGATGCTTCTCGTCTTGTGTACGATGGTGTTAGAGACATCAGAAGAGCTGTACTTATGAACAGGGTAATTTGATTACAGTTGTTAATGTGTGAGTGCTTTAGTATAATTTTATATTTTATCACCTAATTACATTTAAAAACTTCTCTTTTTTAGTCTGCAGAAGAACTGGATTCAGAAACAGAAATCGAATTTGAAGCAAACACTTCTGAAACAAAAAGCAAATGTGAGTTGTTTCCATAAGTATATAACTTTGAGAATGCTTTCTAGAGCAAGATTTTTGTATTTTTAAAATTTCATTAATATGTCAGTGCTGCGACATCTAAACCAAGTAGCAGAATTTATTTAATTTTGATTAAGTTAAATACTTAATTCATCCTTATTTAAATATTGCAAATTTGTTACCAGTTATTACTTCAATAGCAATTTTAGTAATCTGTTTTTATTTTTAATGGTTATATGAGAAAAAGGATATTTTAATAAGATTTATATATGAAAGCAAAATTATCAAAAAAAAAAAAAAAAAAAAAAAAAAAAACACAGATAGGCTTTTATTTTTTATTTTATTTATTTATTTGTTAGAACTTAGTAAACTTTGTTGATTAGTCTAATTATATTTATCCTTTATGATCAGTATGCATTGATTGGTTCAGATTTTATTATTAAGTATGGTAAATAAAATCTCTCGTAACCGGCAGTATCAAAATAACAGCATTTTTTAAGATCCTAAATTTAAATCCAAAATTTATACCTATAAAATTTTTAAAAAAATAAAATAAAATAATGTGCTAACAATCTGAAGACATAAATATGGAAAATATTTGTGTATGTTTCTGCTGCCCACATAGCAAGTTTTAAGTAATAAGTTACACGGTATATAGAAGATGAATACTGATCCCTTTGAAGGTAGTGTCATGATTTTCAAAAACAATGCACATTGAAAGACACCATATTTACTATGAAACAATATAAAGAATATTACTTTGCACTGTCACTGGCTAAATGATGGATTATTATCATGTTCATAAATGATGAGTAAAGTGACCAAAAAAGATTCTGTTGATACACTGCTAGCCACCCGCATTGCAACACCAAGAAAGACGAGATATCACAACAAAATTTATTTAGTAGATAACATGTTGACCAAGTATCAAATGATTAAATTCATAGTCTTCTGTGAAGTGTAGTTCCTTCTAGAATCAGTAGCCAGAGTAGCCGCCCATTGTTGGAGATCACCGCTGCCACACGTCTCGGCATTGATTCAAAGAGACTTTGGATGTGTACTTGGGGTACAGCAGACCAAGCGCTGTTCAGCATCCTCTCTCAACGGTGTCTCCAGACTCGAATCCGACCATCTTGGTGTTGCATACAGAAGCGTGACTCTTCAGTAAAGACAATTTCATTTCCTTTCTGCCGTCATATCCTTCTTTCATCGCACCATTGGCGGCGGAGACATCTGTGGTTCTGCGTCAAGGGTAGACGAAACAATGGACGTCTTGCGGACAGACCACTCGGCTGTAAACGCTATCGAATGGTACACGCAGGCATTGGGGGCTGTGTTACAGACTGAAGTGCTGTGCTATGGTTCTTGATGTGACTGAGCGATCAGTCACTGCCATGCGCACAATGTTTCTGTCATCACGTGAAGTGCTGCACTGAGGTAGATGCGATCGAACACGTCAGTGCATCGTACCCTCCTGCATCCAACGGTCACATGTCCGCATTACAGTTGTTTGGTTTAGTCCAACACGACTACCGATTTCCCTGAAAGATAATCCACACTCTCGAAAGGCCACTATCCTTCCTCTGTTAAACTCGGATACTTGATCAAACGATGATCGCTGTTTACTAGGAGGCATAATTGATCGTTTTTTTTTTTTGAAAAAACCACAAGAAAAACACAATTGCCGAACTTGAAATCGGCGAAAACTCCAAGCCTTAAATAGCGCTTTGAAGTGGCACCAAAGGCAAGTGTGATGTGTGTCTGCACTGAAATTCTAATCATTTGCATATCTCACCTCAGCTAATGGATGTTGTAAATTTCATGTTATTTGCATGCTTCCTTTCAGGGTGTTGCATTTACGGTGACCAGCAGTGTATTAAAACAGATCCAGTGCATGTTACTGACATCTTGTTGTGAAGAGAATGTGCAGGTGTAAATGGATGATGTAAACAATTCTATTCAAGTCAGATTTTTTAAGATGATATTGAAATATTCATATGTGCATTGAGAGGGGAAAAAGATGGTGAAGATGATATACAGAGTTAGGAAAGTTACGTAGATGGAAGATGACAAAAGATTGCAGGTTTTCATAGGATTTCTGATGAAAGTGTTCATCTGTGTCAGTAAATGATATTACAAAACTTTATTATGTGTATTTTAAAACTATGTTGACAATTTTGTAAACAGATAAACATAACGTCACTAAGAAACTCTTAATTTTTATGTGGTTTTATGTATGGTAATGTTAAAATGTTGTTTAATTTTGGTTTCCCCAAACTTATAATTATGTACACTGTGCCAAAAAAAAGGGGGGACAGTTCTATGTCTCTCGTTCTACTGGGCCAATTGATGAAATTCAAATTGTGTTTTCCATGTCTCGAAAGCGGGACTTGGAATATATATTAGATTTATATATAGCATTATTCTAACATTGGTATTTTGACACAAATTTGCACTTTTTCTGAAATGACATGCCAGTTTTTTTTTTTTTTTTTTTTCTCATATTTCGATTCTAAGACTCAAATCATGCCAAACTGCCAAGTTTTGTAAAAATTGCATGAGTAGTTTTTAAAAAATAAGCTCTCAAAATTTTAGCTCCTCAATGTTAATTTAATTTGATATGTATTTATTAATATTTCTTTTTTTTATTAAACTTACTTGATACCTTCTTCCAGAATTTAAAATTCCAAATAAAATTTGCCTATTTTTTATGATTTATTTTTTAAAATTTGTATTTTGAAGTAATTTTTATAAATTTTTTGAAAAAAAATTGGATTATAACCTATAAAATATTTAACATCACCTTAAAATAGATGTATTTCTAAAATTCTATTTTTATCTGCAAAAAATTACTTTTTTTTTTATTAAAAATTTCCTAAGATATATGTGAATTTACATTTTGGCGTATTTAATAACAAGCAATAATAACAACAATGTGGTTTACGCACTTCGCTAAAATTATTTGAAAGAATGAATAATGGACCTTTTCTCCTCTTGTGCATCAATGAAAAAAAGGAAAGTAAGTAGGTTTCTGTAAATTAAGAATTCTGCCTAGTGAATTATTCTTGACGCAAACTGAAATAATTGCACCAATATAAATCTTTAAATTTCTCACCACAAATTACAAAATTTAATATCTAGGCCTAATTTGAGTCATAGAATCGAAGTACAAAAAAATATGTGTTATTTTGCTGTATATAAATGTAAATATATGTCCCAAGTTATGCTTTCGAGACATGAAAAACTCAATTTGAATTTCTTCACTTGGCCCAGTAGAATGGGAGATATAGAACTACCCCCTTTAATTCATGATCTGGAAATCTGGGTGCATAATTCTGTAATTTTTACATTAAGACCTAACAAACATATTTTTTAAATGCCTTCTTCCTTTTTTTAAAGAACTTGGAATCTTGTTATTGAAGTAAATAATATACTGTTGTGACCTGAATATATTGTTTTTCCTTTCTGGAATGGAGAAATATTTATTCACAAGCACATGTAGCAAGACTTTATTCTAATACTTTAGAATAAAATTTGCAAATCATTTCTTCATCTAATGCTTTCAACAGAGAATGCAACTTTTTAACTGCTTATCCATGTCTTAACACCATAGTGTGGAATAAATGAATTATTATTAAATGAAGCTTCTGAACTTATGAAGTGCACTAATTTGCATTATACTTTTTAATTAGTGAGCAAATTCACATGAAGTAATAATTATAATTAGTGTTCAATCTGAAATATATGAACTTAAAATATTTTCTCCTCCTATATCTTTTTGATGTTGACAAATTTAAGTAAAAAATAATGTAATTATTTTTCTCTATTTTATGCAGCTAGTGCACATACTGATTTTGATGAATATCCTGAAATTAGTGGCATAAATAACACCAGAGTAAGTATATGTCATAAATTCTATATGAATTATAAATTGGTATTTTAATGTCAGTATTATTTTAGAATTTGTATTGAATGAAAGTGTCACTGTATTTAAAATTGGAAGCTTTTATTAAAATTTGAATGCACAGAAATGAGATGCAATCATTCAATTATTTATTTTTGATGTCAAATCAATTTCATTACCAAATTTCAGGACGCTTATCGATACATTTCTGAAGAAGACAAACAGAAAATTGCTGCTCAAGTAGAGAACTTCCGCACCGAAAAAAGTAAATTTGACAGAGAAGTTGCAAAATGGGATGACACTGGAAATGATGTCATCGTATTAGCCAAGCAGATGTGCATGATTATGATGGAAATGACAGATTTTACAAGGTATGAATTCTTTTTGGGGGAATTAACTTACTTAAATGTGAATATTAAAATTTTTTTCTAAGCTTAATCTATGTTGGGGATGCAAAATTATAAAGTACAGCCACTAATATTTAGCAGAATTGCACACCAAGATTTATTCATGCTCAAGGTATAATTCATGTCCATACTTACCAGTACTTTTTTCTTAATACCATAACATTTTGGAGTCCATTGGTGCTTTTGCTAAGAAAAAAGAGGTAATCGAGAACAACTAATTTTCAAATCCTCATTTACTCAGTGCACTGATGTTAAATAATTTTGCTGGAAAATAAATTGTTTTATTAATTCTAATGATAAAATTAGCAAGTTGCCTTTTGTTACTAAAATATTTGTTTATGAGAATACATTTAAATAATAATTTGAGCTTAATTTATGCAAATTGTTTCAAGTAATTAAAAGTGTCTTATCATGATTTGTTTCCTATTCTAGTATGAGTGTATTTAGTTTTGTAGTTTTTTAAAATGTAAATTGGAGAATAAATGTTTTAGAAGAAGTTGTTCTCCATTACATAGGTATTCTATATCGATTTTTAAAACTCTTATTATTATTCCACAGAGGAAAAGGTCCTTTGAAAACTACAATGGATGTAATAAATGCTGCTAAGAAGATATCCGAATATGGTACAAAATTAGACAAATTAGCTCGTCAAATTGCTGATCAGGTAATTTTGTATACATTTTATTTATTTGTCTTTTTTTTTTTCTAAATGTTTTAAGCATATGTAAAATAAGGAATGTTTGAAATAAAATCCAGCATTAATTTATTATGTAGAATAAGTTTGTACGCATTCCAACTGCAGCTTAATAATTTAAACGTCTCTTATATTTCAATATTTTTGCTTTATTGTATTTTTCTCTTTCTCTGTATATAAGTTTCATGGTTTGGTTTTGCACTTGATTTATTTATGCTATCTGAATTTAAATGATATTGTAGATTAGTTCGAAAATTAAATCTTTTATATGTTTGCACATTTTTTTAATTGTTTTAACTTTAAATTTGCTTTTTTACGTATATACATGTTTGTTAAATTTAATAATTAAATTTGTATTTAAATTCAATTTATTCTTTTGAAACTATATATATATATATATATATATGTACACACACACACATAAAACAAGGAATATATATGTACACACACACACATAAAACAAGGAATAGGTAAGGCAAAATTTTAACTATAATTTGTAATAGGCCATTAAATCTCCTATTTAATTTATTTCCACTTTCCCTTAGTTCTTTCTAAACTGTCATATCAAAATTAATCCCTGCCATATGGTTCTTATATAATGCTTATGATGCATATACTTATGTAATTCTTCAGTCAATAATAACATTAAAATTTCAAAATAACCTTTATTAATCAATAGAAACAAAGGAGAATCATAGTTTTAGTATTCCTAACCTTGCATCATTACATAACCTCTGCATTTCATATCTTGGTTGCTGATTGTATGCTGCTTCATTTTTATTACTATATATAATTTCTTTAATATGGGAAAAACAAAGTGTTACGATGCTTCAGAATATCCCATGAACAAGAAATAGAACGTGCTAAATCAGCTACATTGTATTTATTTGATTGAATATCTTTATTCACTGTCTTTTACATCGGTGGTCTCAAACTCAGATTACATCTCAGCCAAATGCTCTGAAAGCAGCTGACGGACTATAACATTTTATACAAAACAAAAATTAATAAGTAAAATAAGTTTTAAATTTCACTAACTGAATAGTTATCAAAACATACATAAACAATAACAACACAAAGGGGAAAATTCTACTTTATGTCTGAAGTTTAAAGGTTGGTACTTGCAAGTAATTTCTGTTAGTTATTCTTGTCTTTCAGAGGTATTGACAGTTAAATGTTAATTTTTAGACTTGACATTTATTTCAGATAATTCTAGCATATGGAGTTAATCTCTAAATAATTTACATTTAAATTTAACCAGAATTTTCAGATTACAGAAGCACCACCAGGTATCAGCTGGCAAACTAAATATACTGACCATACCAGTGTGGAAAATTCTATACAACAGTACTCTAATCACATGGCCTGATGTACAAGCATATAATGACAGTGACAAAGCACTACCCTATTCATTCTCTCTTTTTTCCCTTCAATAGCTGTCTTGCATGTAAGCTCATAAGGCCATATCCTTATGCCTCTAAAACTATTATCACCATATTTATAATAAATATATAATTAAAATTTATTCGTGGGCTGCATAAAATTGCTTTGGAACTACTGAGACTACTGTTCTGCATCATCAAACATCAGATTTCTTTATTGCTTCCATATATAAATTAATATTATTATGTATTTATTTACTGAAGCATCCTATCATTTAGTGTCCTGAATCCAGTACTAAAAAAGATCTATTAGCTTACCTTCAAAGGATAGCTCTGTATTGTCATCAGTTGAATATAACTAGTAAAGTGAAAGCCGATGTGCAAAACATCTCCGGCAGCCTTATTGTATCTGGTGTAAGTATAATTATTTCAATTAATAAATTTTCATTTTACTTGTGAATATCCTTAAACATTTAGATTTTGCATTGCCAGCTTTGAATTTTCTGAATGATGCAGAATTTTTCACAGTAAGAGTTAGAAGATTTTGCAAACAACATTCCCTGATTATTGAGACTTGCACAAATGTTTTTACTTTTTGTGCATGCTGTCAGTTGCAGATTATTAACTAACAAAACATTCCTAGTGGTCCAATTAACATGCTATACATCTGTATTTTTTCCCCCCATGCAGTTATAAGAAAAATTAGAGGATACTCTACAAAGGTCTCGTTCATTGCGATTCTGCCTTCAAATGAATAATATTTTGGTGATCTATGCATGATTTATAAGTGAAATAGAGAAATTTGTTCTTAAAAGTTCATTGTTAGCCCCAAGGAGCATTAGCCTAGAAGGGCTATTAGTCTCGAAACAGCATTTTGCATTGAATCACTCTTATCATTATTAATTTAAATATTATTGCTCTGTATTAAATTTAAAGAAATTAAAAAATGAATAGAGTGCATGAATGTGTGTATATATTTCACATTATGAAAAAATGGCAGTGCCTAGAGCCATCAGATTTTGAATAACATAATCCTTCCCCGAAACATGGGCACCTCTTAATTCATTATCTTTTTAACATATAAAAGTTTGTAGCTTTTGCATTCAAATGATAAGCTTGATGCAATAATATTCACTGTATGATGTTTAACAGGGTGAGGAGAAAGGAAGTAAATAAAAAGCTAAAAATGAGTATGAAAGAACTTCAGCGATTTAATTGAATAACATGGTATTAGCTGTGTGATAAAATTTTTCATTATTGACATTTTCTGTAACCATACTGACTTAAATTTGTACAGGAGTGTATTTAAATTATTAAAAGTCACAGTAGCTTCTTGCTCACCGTAGCCTGATCCCATTATATTCATTTTCATTAAAATAGTATTATATATTGTATAGTAGAGGTAACCAACTTAGGGCTGTGGACCTTATTTGATTCATGAGGTTCTTTAGTATACATTGTCTGCGCATTTTTATATACACTGTTCTAAATTTTGTTGAACAGGTAATTTATGTTATATTTTAATTTGTAGGAAGTTTTCCTGTGTAGGTAAAAATTCAGCACTGATTTTTAAAATCAGAACCTCAAGAAAAATACATCATTAGGAGTAGATCTAGTTGGAAAATTCTACCAATTCTGGTGCACATTTATTAGATTATATGGAAAAGTTATGGCTGTCATAGAAAGGTATCAGAAATATTCTTATTTTATGTAAAATGAAAAGTTGATCATCACAAAATGTAAACAATTAAGATGGCTTACAAACAAAGGAATCTGCCCTGTGACTTGGTTTCACTGATGAAGGCTTGTTCCTCAGAAGTGCCATTAAGAAACTGGAAAATGTATTGTGTATAAACTGTAGCACTGTATTCTGTAATCAAAAAGGCAAAATTTGCCTATCAGTAACTTCTGACAGATCTCTCCAGCTGCATATTGCCTTGATATATACAGGAACTGGGTATGAGTGTGCCACTTGTCAAAGAGTTTTAACTTGCAGTTGTTAATTACTTTGTGACTGCTAATGGTATGAACTGCTAGTATTTTGATGGCTAGTGGGAGTAACTTTTAAAGAATTAGCTAGATGAAATTCCACCAAACATACATCATTTTATACTAGTGAATCCATGCTTTGGCTGAGAACTAAGTTGTTTAGCCATCTCGATTTAAGTTCATATAGTCTTTGTAATGAAACAGAAGCATCAATTTTCGTTGTTTGTGTAATGATGGAGCTCAACCATGCATCTACCTTGTAGGAGAGACTGATATCAGTTGACAGATGTCCAATGGTTGAAGCTGTTCACCATGCCTGTAAACTACAGGTAGAAGATAAGTTTTATTTATATACTTGAAAGGCCAGTATAAGCTTATGCACAGTTATATATTCATCAACTCTGATCAACTGCAAGAAGACATTCTGAATGGTTATATTACGTTTTCATATTTTATTTGAGCTGTATATGTATCATCATATTCCTGCATTTAATAGAATTTTATTTTTTATGCTTTATTTGGTATTATTTAATTGAATTGTATCATCTTTGCTCTATGCCATTTCAGCGTATGAAAATTTTTGCAGGAGCATTTCACATTCACAAATGATAGAAATTTGTATTTTTAAATTTTGAATGAATAATTTGTCATAAGACCTGCTATGCCAACACTTAACTTGAATTTGCCTTTCATATTCACCTGTTGTTAAAGGTGTCGTGTGATAAATCTAATGTACAAATATTTCGCTAAAATTTCGTTTGTCCAACTTTGAACAGTATGAGAAATAAGTTGCTTGATTTTATCCATGCAAAGAATGTGTTTATCATATAAATGTAGTTTAATTGTGTATACTATTTTTTAATCTCAAATGCAAAATATGTATCTTTGTGCACATAATATTTTTTTCCTTTGACTTTCCAGCTGGATAGTGCAACGTCACTAATTCAGGCAGCAAAGAATTTAATGAATGCTGTTGTCCTTACAGTTAAAGCCTCCTACGTGGCATCTACTAAGGTAATTTATATAGCTATCATAAAATGATGTAGTATGTTTGTGATTTTATGAAATCTATATATTTTTACGATTAATTGTGGTGATATGAAATGCTTTTAAATCTTGTAATATTATGCTTATGTAGTAGATGAAATTACATTTATGTTCTAAATAAAATTCCTTTTCTTTCTTTTCTTTTCTTTTTTTTTTTTTTTTAGTATCCACGAAGTGTTCAAGTTGCCGTAAGTATTATTATTGCTATTTATTCAAACATGTAGTAATTAAAAATGAGAGTTTCTTTAATTATTTGATCTTCCAAATTCTTTATGTTCTAGGTTTTTATTTTAAATTGACTATTTTGCTTTAGATTTAAGTAATAAATTTTAAAAAATTTTTAATATGAAAATGCTCCTCCTTTTTTTCCTGTATTTTCAATGGAATTGGGAAATTATGTGCATTAGAATAACAAATTTTCTGTGGTTCTCTCATTAAATAAATTTGAATTCTGACTAAAATTAAGACTTGTACAAATTGTGCTAGTGAAAGTGATCCTATCATTGCATATATAGTAAATATTGTAATCTCGATAAACATAATTTGGTAAGTTTTTCCTTTTTAATTTGTTCAAATTTTATATGAAGTATTGAAAAGTTAATTAGTTTTTGTATGCAGTTCTTATTTGATTAGAATTAAGTAAAATAGAAAGTAATCATCCTTGCATCTTTTTACACGCTGGAAAGCATGCGATTAGTGAAAGTTAGAAAACATAATTTATTTCAAAATGTAATTTAAAGCTCAAGGTAAACAAATATTACTTTATTTGAATATTTGTATACTTGTTATTAAAAATAAATGTTTAAATTTTTAACTTGTATAAAACTATGGGGAAAGGACTTTCGGAAAAATAGGTGGTTTTGTGCGAGTGTCGTGAGTGAACATAAATAAATGTAATAAGTGTCTGAAAAAGGTTGTTAATATAACTATGTCAGGAAATTATCAGGCCAAATATAATGAAATCTTCTGTAAATATTTATGAAATTCAGGTTTAAAAAATTTAGTAATTGCATAAAAAACTTAATGAGTCAATCCAGTTAACAGTAGATTTTTTAAAGCAGATGAATGTGTTTTTTAACAGTTATCAGTTGGAGGAGCGAAGCTACCGTATTAAAGCTTTTATCAAAATATCCTTAAAACTTCACATATTAGCGGACAAGGCTGTTGGAACACTGGTAGGTTGACCCAGTCTCAAACTCTGCCAAATAAGCTGGCTAGGTGCTTTAATAGTTTTCCCCATTGTAACAAGCTAGTTTCCCTTAGAAGGTTTTGTATAAAGACATCCCATTATTTAGACAGCCTCACTGTACTGTGTCAAAATTTAATAAATTAAATTCTGAAAGCCGTGCCCTTAGATGGCCAAGTGGATTCAGTGGCCACTGAACTAACTTTGCTGACCACTGAACTTTCCTTCGTTCGAATCCCGGCAAACAGGCTGCTGCATGACATTTTCATGGTTTTCTTCATATGAAATATAAATAGAAGCCAGGTTTCCTTAAAAAGTCCTCTTCCAAAGCATTCTTTCCTTGACAGATAGCTGCTGTGTGCTTTTTCTGAATTAAAATCTACAACCAATCTTCAAATTTTAGTACAGTGTTATTAAAAAAGCAATAAATCACATTTAAGTTTCATATTGAAACAAAATTATTAATGATATAGTCAAAATACTTATGGGGTTTAGTATTGTATGGTAAATTTATGAATGCTCTATGTATGAGTCCTTTGTCACTCTGCAGATATAGTTTTACCACATCAAATGCAACCTTGGCTGGCATTTTGCCAAAACACTTAGGATCATCCAGAAGGGTGTTAATTACATGCTGTGGGGTGAGGAGGTCACATGAGAAATCTCTGTTTACTGAAAAGAAGGAATTTACTAACCAAGGAAGAAAGTCCCTGTGTCATTGGGTGATCCTGCCATCAGTTGTCTTTCATACCTTTATTTCATATATGCAGAAATAAACATGAAGAATGGCATTGATGTGCAACACTTGACACCAAAAATATTAAACTTTTTTTTTTTTTCATAACATATGAATTTCATAACATATGTGAACAGTGCCTATTTCATTGCTTACTTTTAAAAATAAGATCCCTAAAAGTAATGGAACTATAATTATTATCAGAAATATTATTTCTGTAGTTAAAAAAAAAAAAAAAAAATTAAAGAGAATATTTACCCCCATTTGAATGTGGTCTTCCCTGATCGTAGTTGATTTAATGTAATATTGCCAATATTGTGATCTTTTATGCAATAATTATTGTTCCTTTTCTTTTTTTCTTTTTCTTTTTTTTTTTTTTTCTTTTTCTTTTTTTTTTTCTAAAATGAATTTGTTCGTCCCTCACTTCAGCTGTGTTTAATAGACATATAGATTTTAGCCAAAAAATATAATATTATTATTATAACTTTTATAAATAAATAAATAACTATGTATAATTTTATTGTATATTATTATAAATGACTGTCTCTTTTTGTAGTTTATATTAATGCACATATATTTTAGTTCAAAGAGCTAAAAGATATATAATAAATATTAATTATTGTGTAGTTATAATAATATAATTCATTGTAATGAAAATTATGCAATAAAACAAAGAAAATTGAAAGGGAAAGTTGGGATTATAATTTCATCCCTATGAAAGTTCTAACCATTTTTTCCTTGATAAAAGTCGCAACCCAAAAGCAATACAGGTAAAGTTAAAAAAATAAAAAACTTCATAATATAAATATGTTTGTGCTCATGGTCCCATCTAGCATGATTAAACTATTTATCAGTATTATTTTCTAATTCTTTCTAAACAGACACGACCTCATCAGCACTTAAATATATCAATGTGTACTGTCTGTCTATGGCAAGAACAGCTCACGCCACAGTGTCTGGCGGGTGGCAGGAGACCACTGGGTGAGCAGCTGTGCCGCCATGAAGACTTTCAGCTTCTGGCGGGTGGCAGCTACTATAGCAACAGGGCTAGTATATTTTAAATAGGGCCGAACCAAGAGTTGCTTTATTGTTATTTTATTTTTGGCGACTGTTGGCTGAAGGGAAAAGAGTTTCTTCCTCTTAAACATTTAACCGTGGAGGCTTTCCATAATCGTATAAACAAAACAAACCACTGGTAATTAAGGTAAAAGCAGTTTTGATTTTAATTCACCTTTGCTTCCTTTCACCATTAAATTGACCACCGTTTGGTTTAGTTTGAAGGTATGCGAAAAGAAGAAATGTTCGCAAAAAGTATTTATTGAGAGCATGGGTATGTAAATAAACGCTTTTACTTTCAGATGATTCCACATTTAATGATAAAATTTTTAGTCATTATTAAAGCACAAGCAATAAATTAACAGAAAATTTTGAAATAAAAACATAGCTGAACGTCATTTAAAGACTGAAGAAATTGCTTTGAATGTTCACAGTAGATTAGCTAGAGGGGAGAACTATAAAAATTTAATTTATTTTATATTTATGAAGTGCGTCTATACTATATTACAGAGAATGGGGCAATCAAGTAGATTTCTAAGATGTCATCTATGATTTTGCAAGTAAACAAATAATAATAATAAAAAAACAAAATAATAGTATGATTTTTTTAAATAAATTTAAATTTTCTTAAAAAATAAGCACGGATTTTAAAATTTATTTCCCTACAAGTTATTTTGATGTATTTTTACTCATTGTACATCTAGACTCTAGATTCTAGAGGGATGCCAAATTCAGCGACTTGTACCTCACACAGCAAAATCAAAGACCGTTTCTTGACTGCAAAAGCTTTATTTACGCGATCGAATTTTCATTTTCGGAAATTGGATTCGGGGTTGACGCAGAGGATCAACGAGCATTTTACTTGAAACTAAAACAAAATGTGAATCATCTTTAAATGCGCCAAGGTGGCAAACTAAGCAGTAAATCTTCAAGACACCCCCTGCAGAAAATGGGTCAGGGCTCGTTTCTACGACAACTGACAGCTGTAGACAAACTGGCGAGAGATGTTCTTGCCATAGACACACAGTAATGTCTGTTGTGATGTTTCATTTTAGTTTGAGGTTTCTTCCTATATAAGGAAACCTCAGAATCCACACTCTTGAAGGTCATTGTGCCAATGGAAGTTTATCTTTTGATCTCCAATGTTATGATACATTTTCAATCCCACAATGTTAAATTTTCTCGTGGTGGAATCCTGGGGAAAGAAATTTATTCTTGTACTATAACAGAAATTATGTGTCTACTGTTCTAATGGTTTTGAGTATGCATGACATTGAAAGTTTCTCTTTCTTTTATTGTAATCCTGTATTATATTAATAGGTGTGATTAGACTTCTCTTTTGATAGTGTGGGGGGGAAACACCTTTTAGGAGGTCTCTAACTATAGATATAATATCATAGATGAAGCACTTAATCAGTATAAATGTTATTGGAAGTGTTTGTTTTCATACCTGCGTAAGACTAAAGCCCACATTGATGTGCATCAGAGCTATAGCAAGAGTATATCAAGTAAGGCAACTTGCTTCAGGTAAAAAGCTTGTAGGGATAAGAACAAATTAAAATGTAATGAATTCACTAGTGATGGCAAAGTAATCAATAAATAAATATAGGTAAATAGATAAATTTATGTAGATGTGCTGTTTTAAGATCTGCATCATGGATAGTTTTTGATGAAAAGATTGCCTTCTTGATGATGAGGTTTAGCTTTCTCAGAATTTGAGCACTTAATCAGCAGATGCTCGAAGAGTTGTATTTTTCAGCAGCATTTTTAACCCCTTCGAGCCGGGTAGTGAAAATGCGCGCTTATCGCGGAGGCCGGCAGTGTCTTCCGCGAGCGTCTCTCCAGGGTTGGGGGCTTTTTTGCTACTAAGCCTTAAATCCATGAAATTTCCGAAGTATCAACGCATTGTTTAATAATGCTCTATAGAGTATTTAAACGGCTTATGCTTTATAGATATTTATATATATATACTTTAATTACCTTATTTCTTGTTTAAATGCATATTTTACACATTTTATTTTAATTACTCACCATTTTATGACTTAAAATTATACATCTGAAAACTAAATATATTACTTAAACTTCTCTTTTCGTATGAAAAATTTTAAAACAAGGATCTACACACAGTCCTATGTTACATTCCTTGAACTCGTAATAACTCATTTGCCATTTTGGAGGATTTTTCCGGGAATGTGAACAAACGAAGCATCGTCGTCTCATTTTCTTATCAGTCTCTTCTGAACAAAGTTTTGGAAAATGTCTTTCAGTTAATCTTTCAGAATCAATATCTGAAATATTTTGCATCATTTCTGCTATTTCATGCTCTGTTAAACATTTTCGACGCTTCGACATTGAAACGGTAAAAAACAGAAAGAATTCACGTCTAACAAGTTCTAATTATTTTCTAAAAACTGAACTGTAAACCAAAATACACAATGCTTTAGCGCATATAAAACTTCTACTTACAATAAACAACTACCACGTGCGAATAAAGTGCGATTTAAAGAGACGTCATAAATCACGCCATTCGGAAACATTTAGTTCCCCGTTTGTTTATATAATCAAAAACACGTGTATGTGAGTCATGCTTCTCTCATTTCGAGTAGAAGGTCTAATGTACATGTATCTGAAACCATATGGACATACAGTGCCATCTTTGTGGCAGAAATTATAGTTTGAAAAACGTTCCAAGGTACTGGCACAAATACGTGACAGTCGGTAGTAAACGCAACAATGCTCTGGCATGCCTGCGTGTCAGCCGGTAGATAAGTGTGTTCGTTGCTGGCACGTATACGTGACAGTCGGCGCGAAGGGGTTAAAGTTTAGTTGTATGCAGTCAGATTAGGCTATAAAAAACTCATCTGATAGTAGATGAAAATTTTGACCATGTCTAGTTTCCTGTACTATAATATTAGTTTAGAAAGCTGTAGCAAACAACCAAATGTATGAAAATCAGACATAATGAGCTCTGTCTGTAACTGAATTTTTCTAAACTGCTTTTCATAATTTTTTTTCTTCGTTTCTTTTGTAGGCTTGGTGAAATATTTCTAAGTTTTGATTATTAAATTTAAATACCAGAAAGTATAGATATCTTTGAATCAAGAATAAAGATTTTACCGTGTCAGATCTTTTTTATACTTTATATATATATAATCCAGATAATAGTGAGAGTATTCTTATTAATTGAAGACAATCTACTCATCAGACAAAAGGCACTTCTAAAATAATAATATATTTTAATTCACATTTGCACATTACTAACTAATTATATATGAAACACACAGATGAGAAGTAATCAGTTGCACCTACCACTCAGTCATCCATTACTAGTTCTAAAAAAGTTCTGCTTTTGAGGCGACTTGCATGTACGAATCATTTGATTTGTTCAGTGAGGTTGCTTTTTGGGTTCCATATATTAAGTCCATCATGGAGGAATAGAAATGGACTCTTATTGCACTGTGTCTGCAACAGGTTGGCTATAGTGGGATCTTCATTTTCAGTTTTTCTATATGAATTATTGTGTTGCTCTGGGTTGAAATGCATTATCAAAAATTCCTTTATATTTTGTGTTTTAAGAGCATGTTTCACTGACAATGACATGAGCATTATTATTTGAAAAATATAAAATGGATGGAATCAAACTAATTTTTATTAGTGAGACAGTTTACCTAAATTCATGTAGAGAATTCAGGGTTTGGCAATTTATTCTGATAAAAAATTTTGATGCAAGGAAAATGTTGCTAGCATTAAGATGTAGAAACAAGGATTCATTATTCACAAAAAGCTGCAATTTGTCAGTATCTGAATAAAAGCTACAGACAAAGGTAAATTAATTCACCAAATAATTTGCAGGGGCTAAATTTCTGGTGCTTGGATGGCTTGTCAGACAAAAAATTATCAATTAATCTGAAAATGTTTTAGTTAAGTCTCAAGATACAAGAAAAAGTGTTTGTCATTTTAAATGGAGCCAAACATAGACATCTGATGAATGGAATAGTTCAAAAGCAAAATGCATTAAAATGCAAAAGCCAAACGCATGTCTTCGTTTTGCAAGTTTTGCATCCGAATTGTTTGAGAAAGAGCTGCAGAAGTGGTGTGAGGAACTCTGAACCAAATGTAAGGACTTCTACTCTTGATTTGACAGGTGTGCTGTAGACGCTGATATCAAAAGTTTACTGTGCACTGAGACATTTTCCTTTCAACTTGTATCATGTAGTAGTTTGTGCACTAGAGAGTGATTAGAACTTGAATTATCCTAACAGAAAGAAAATGATTTTACATATTTTGGAGGAGTTACATTGAAGATGTAGCTTATGTTTCCCTTCTTGATGCAATGATAATTTCAAAAAAAGTCATGGTAGCTTGTTATAGAATTCATTATTCAAAATTATTTTAAGCACCATGATCTAACAAAGTTTATTTAAAAGAAGCGCAACTAGACAAGATTTCTAAAAATGCTACAGCATCCTCTGAATATGAGACGGAGCTTTTTCAAACATGGCATGTTTATGATGTTTACATGCAGAGATGTGATTTGGTATTGTGGCAGAAATTAAACTTAAAAATGTAGATATTGAAGTTTCTACATATGATATTGATGAAGAAATGGAACACACAGTAAACCTACTACCCCTTATTAAGCATAAATTAACATTAACAATAAGTTTTCTAATTTAAATTGTAGAACTAAGAATGATTTTTTGGCTTCATTTTTTTAAACAAAACTATGAATAAAAATTTTTTGTGGTCTCTGTCTTAGCAGGACTGTAGATTATTTTCATGCTGAATACATAATAACACCATTGAATTCACTATTGAACATGTTTAATTATTAAGGCAGTTCACTTTTTAATGCAAAAACTTATTATTGATCATTATAAATTTGTATTTTAGAGATATGAACAGGTCTATTGTATTGGAAAGGGTTATTATGATGTTTGTTCTAAGTAATTTGCCATGTATGATGATTATTACATGATGAAGCTGAAAAAGGATTGGCTTTATTAGATTATAAGCAAACACACTAAGGCTATTTTTACCTGAGGGCAGAAATTCTTTTTAAATTAATAGCTATAGATTGTAATTATAATTAACCCCTGATCCCCCCAAAAATTAGAATAACAATTCATGTCTCTTATTGCTAGTGCTGATCCTCCCCCTCTCGCATGTGTCTACTAAAATTATGTCAGGTACAGCAACCCAGATTTCTGTTTTTTAAGGTTTTTTATAGCAGGGTTTGATTGTGCTTACTATTTCATATTCCTTTCCTCCTCCTTAATTCATAATGTAGTGCACATATTATACATATCTCTTATTCTGTTGTTCATCAAGTTTTTGAGATATAAACAGGTTTACAAATGTACTGCAGACATAGAATTTTATAATCATCAATTACATCTACTCTTTCTTTTCAAACATTTCAGGCATGTGCACCCAAGTCCTTTTGTGGCCTTTAGTATATCATTGAAAACTCAATTTAAATTAGTTGGCTATATGCCAGTACTTAAACCTACTAGTGTTTTCTAGAAATTTTAAAATATCCTTTCTGGAACAAATTATATGGATCAGAACTTTTTCACAACAATCTGCATTTCATATTCTGTTAACATCAGGAATCTTTTTACTAAATTGATATTTTATTTTTAGTTACTATGTACAGATTCAAACATTATGCTCTTCAGTTTGTATTTGAAATATTAAAACTTCAGACATAAACATATCTGTCAATTTTTATTGTATAAAAATTAATCTTTTTTGTATTTTTGTTTTTTAATGAATATATGTTTACACAATTGATTTTTTACATTTAAAAATACCAAAAAGACCAACAATTTTGAAAATAAAGGCCACATAAGGACTACATACACCTAGCCAATGTATAGTATTTTCTAAATAAATTGATTAAATATTTCTGGTAATTATATGAGTTACTGTAATTTTGTTTTTACTGAAAAGACATTTTAGAGTTATATATATATATGTGTGTATTTTTCTATAGTCACCTATAGTCGTATGGAAAATGAAAGCTCCCGAGAAGAAACCTCTTGTACGCAGGGAGAAACCAGAGGAAGTCAGGGCTAAAGTTAGGAAAGGCTCTCAAAAGAAACACATTGCTCCCATCAAAGCATTAAGTGAATTCCAGAGTCCAGCTGAGAGTGTGTGATTTCAAGACATACAACTAAGAGATCAGTGCCTACGGCCTCATTTTTATACCTTGCCCAAGTGTGGGATGAGGAGTCGGAAAATTCTGCTCTCTCTCTACCCCTTATTTGACTTCTTTCATTAACCTCTAGTGTCTTTACTCCTTTGCCCTGCTGCTCAGAAAGTTTACACTTGTTCCTCCCTCTTTTCTTTAAAAGTAAAGAAAAGGATGCTTCTTTCTGACTTAATGAAAGAAAAATTAAGTGATTAAATGATGTTCACTTTTTATTTAAATGTTTATATGTTGTCAGAAATTTGATTGACGAATTAAGTATCACAAAAATAATCATAGCTTTTGTGCTGCCTCACTTGTGTTATTTTTAGATTTCAAGTCTGATTAATTGCTATGAAACATGGAGTACTAAAACTGTTACATTTTTATTTTGTAATAAAACTTTCAGAATGTTCTCTCATAATAGAAAACTTGGCAGTTTCAATAATAGGAATCTGAGACTGGACCAGAAAATTTGAATTGTAAATGCTTCATATAGCATCTTCCAAATGTAATTTAAATTCTAGTCATTTCATTTTCTTGGTAAAAATTTGATTCTTTGGTTTAGATTTGCATAGTTTTTTCTGGTAATATACATTTATGCATTATCAGATAAAATTTCTGTGCAATATTAAGATAATAAATGGAATTAAATTGTTTTTGTGTATAGTATTTTATACATTATCAGATAAAAAATTTTGTGCAGTATCAAAAGATAATAAATGGAATATTTAAGTTGTTTTTGGAAGGTATGTGCTCTAAATAAGTTTTAATATAATGGGGATAAATGAATGTTTCCATATTTTTGGGGGGTTTCTTTTGTGGTTTTTGTAATGGCATTATATGTATTATTATTATTTTAGAATATGTGTTGTACTGAGATAATAGTTATGTGTCTCTATTTGCCTTTGTTTTTTTTTAGAAGCATTAAATGTGTTACATGTAAACTGGCAGAGCATAAAGCTAAGACTACTTTTGTAAATTTTTTCATCTCATTAGTCTGTGAATATTTATATTTGTGTAATTTATATATTTTATATATGTTATTATTTTTAGAGAACATTATGAGTTTTAATAGATAGCATTCCTTTTTTTTTTTATCTGAATGTAAAAAATTTTGTTTTTGATGCAGTGCATTTAAAAAAAAAAAAAAAATTCTGTACTCTGGAAAAATTTGGTGATTGTGAAACAATGTGATGTGTTTCTCATGAAGTCTGGTGAATGTGCATGTATTTTCATATGCTGTTCTTTAAACATGAAACATACGATCATTGAAACTATTTGTAGTGTATTGTAACAAATAGCAATAAAAAAATTGTCAATTATGTGAAAAAAATTGTACGTTTAGTATTGTTTAGGAATTATTCACTAAATCTTTTTTGTACTTTGTTTTTATCATATATGCTGTTCAATTTTATAGTTTTATATATGTAGTGTAGACCCATAATATATGTATTTTGTACATTTCTTACATAAAACATTTTTAATTCTTGTGTATAATACTTTGTTTGCTAAATCGGTATCAAAATTTAAACCTTTTTACCTGTATTTATCAATTTTGTTAAGAAGTAGTATCAAAAGATTTATTTGTAACACTTGATGTAAAAAAATATGGTTTTGTAGTTTGTCATTTGACAATGCATAGTGAAATACTTTTTTACATTTTATGTCACGAAAAACAGAAATTCATGTATTTTATTTCATTTTAAATAAAGTATACATGAAAAATCCGTAAATTGAATAGAAAATTTGAGATGTAAACTTAAAGTAAGTTTTCAATAAAAATATAATGACTTCTTTCATCATCATCATTTTTTAAACTGATATATAATTTAAATATTTCATAAAAGTGGAAGTCAAATTTCGATGCCTCTTGTAGAATCAGTCAGACTTATTCTGAGGCAGGAAACATGAAAAATCAGCATTGCCATCACAGAATTCAATTTGGGGCCTCCTGGTTGTTAGCTGTAAGTGCTTCTAGTTATACCATAAGTGCATACGTAAGGGAGGAAAAAATTCCTTGCATAGTGACATTTTTGTGTTTTGTTGTTAGAAACACCCAGAGCAAAGTTCTTTCTGAATTAAATCATATATCGTACATCTACTCGTATGATTGCAAGTGTTGCCAGTAGATGAAAAAACAAATTGACTTCGTTTTAGTCACACACATAGCAAGTTTTTTTAAAAAAATTTCTTGCTTAACAAAATATAAGATCTCTATCTTTCAAATTTAATTGATCTGTAATTGCTTAACACACTGGAAAATTCAAAAGCAATAAATGCATTTTGTAAAAGTTTCAGTCTTTGCATTTAAAATAATATATCTAATCAATATGATATAATAAGTCATCCCTAAAGTTCTGCTTTTTTTTTTTTAATTAAAGCATGATTCCTTCTACAATACCCACTCCTTATTAAAATCACTTTCACTCAAATATGCTATGAACGAAAGTTTGAGTTCATTAACCCTCTGAGCAGCACAGGTTTTTGGATTTGTCATGAAGACCTGTTTTTATGCAGCGTTTATTAGTTAAATTTTTATAATTCCTTATTTTAGCCTCTATTTTCATAAACTTATATTCATTAAGATTATATTATTAAAGAAAGTAAGAAAGAAAATATCTTAATTTATAAGCTAATATGTATCAAGTGACAAAATCTCATGGATGGTCATGCCGCTCAGAGGGTTAAACAGCCACGTTTAACATGATGAGTTCAATATTGCAAATTATGGTTTCAACTATGAACTTACTTAGTAAGATAGTAACTAACAAATCATATAATAATTAATACCTAAATTATTAATTAAAAATTAAGCTATTAGCAAAACTTAAACTTTCACAAAGGATTGCTCTATCCGTATTTGTTTCCCTTTGTTCATCAGTTTTTCAATTGTATTTTCAAGTTCATAAATATGTTAATTATAAATATAATAATTATCTGATTCTCTACCTTTCAATTCAAACGAAGTTCTTAAAAGTTTGCAGTGCTTTTCTTGATTCAGTTGAGGTTGACATGTAATCACTTTCTTCCATATTACTTTAGCTGTCAATTTCATTTTTGCAACTGTTTTAACACTTTCTTGTTAATATCATAAATATGTTTTTACATGCTGCCTTAATATTAGTATCGATTGCAACGTACTTTAAAAACAAATATTCGTAATTTTTCCTGTTGACGTCCGAAATATTAGAAATAAGTTTGCAGTTCCTCTGTGGCTTCTTCTAAACAAAAACCACATTTTCTAACGCAATTTCTGTATTTTGGGAGACTGTACTGAATATAATACAGTCAAAAGTCGTTAATTCGGACACCCATAATCAGGACCTCAAAGCTACAAACTTCGTCGTGTTGACCCATGCGCGTAAGACTTTTTACGGCTGCGAATATGCGTGTGCGCGTGCGCAAAATACGTTTAACGGACGGTATAAGCTAAGCTAAAATTATCTAATTCAGTTAATGTTGCAGATTGCGTTGTTCTTTAATCTTCGAATTGGATTCGGCTTATTATTTTTTGCAGACTGTTAGAGCAATTTTATAAAAGTAAGCTTGAACTTTTCGATTATGTCAAATAGAATTTCTGATATATATTTACTAACATGTAAAGGATCTACAAAGCGAAAGTATGTTTCGAAGTCCATTAAACAAAAAGTGGAATTGCTGCAAAAAAATGGATAAAGGCATATCCTTTGTTTATCTTTAACGCCGCGGCGAAGCAACTTAAACAATTTACATTGAAAGAAATGTTTAATAAAGTAAACAAATAAATATTAAGCTTTTTTTTTTTTTTTTTTGTAAATTTTGATACCCTTTAGATCATAATTGTTCTTTATTTCATAAATTACGGTTTCATATTTTTAATTTTATAGTTTCTGCATGCCATCTTACCAGATTTAAACTGATGATCGATAATCCGGAATCGCCGAAGTCCGGATTAACGACTTTTGACTGTATTGTTACGAAATGTACAGGTGCAGTAAGATGGCTTCTCCGCAAAGCAGTTTTAAGGTTACCATAAAATAGCAAGGGAATGCAGTGTTGCCACATTTGGCGAGAAATCGCCCATTTGGCAACAAAATTGGCGATAGACCATGGACGGTTGGGGAACCTTCTGGAACGAACTCTTACCGGTTTAGCCCAGAGTGTTCTCGAACACAAGCCAAAAACTATATAAACCGTGCTGGTCAGTTAATGTGTGCTTTATCGAGAGCACGCGAGTCACAGCCCCTCGTCTGGAGTGTGTCTCGTCTAGTTAGTCCATGTGGAGACGATCGAGTTGACAGCCGGCCGACAAGTGCCGAGTGGATTGTCGTGTGCACCGAAGGAATCTGTTAGTGCATCGTCAAGAGAGCGTGTTGAGCTCCGGGAATGACTGAACCAAAGAGTCAGGAGCTGTGCTCGTGTGCATCGCGAGTTGTAGCGTGGAGAGTCTCGAGAGTACGTGGAGTTCCAAGAACGACCAAGCAGAGTCGGATGCTTTGCAAGAAGCTGTCTCCACCGTTATTGCCTGACAGTGTGAAGGCTGTGTCACTGATCGTTCCAGCGTGTTTATAGTAGATCTTTGATGACTGTAAAAGATTTTTGGAGCTGTCCTGATTAATATTGATAAATAAAGTGTGTTTCGATACTTCATCCATTGTCGTCGTTATTCACTCCAAATCTACAAACCCCGTACGAATGTGAAGGAAGAAAATAACGTAACAACTGGTGTCAGAAGGAAGAAAAACACAACAATATGCATAGCCTCTAGCAAAGATATTGATGTACTTACGATGTGATCTACATGTCTCCTTGGAAGTTTCTTTTCACAAGATTCAATTTTGTTTCTCCTTATTTGAACAACTTCTCTGTAATTACATATGAAAGCTTTTATAATATCTTAGTCTAATGGCTGAATGATAGAAGTAGTATTTGCAGGAAAAAACACTAATCTAACGTTTCTCAGAACAATATCAGAGGAGTGTGCAGTGCAGATATTTTATTAGCTTATTTTTTTCATCATCATTCAATAATTTGTTCAAATCTAGAATCTAATTAATTTATTCAAAATCTAGAATTCCTTTTTCTTCTCAGCAGGAAAGACTGCTTTTATCTGTCAAGTCAGCCTGTCACTTCATGATTGTTGTAGGTATAATCATTGCTTTGCTTTTTCTTCGGCGTACAGCGATCACTTCCGTTTTCCAATCAAAGACTGATAATGTACGAGATAATGCAAGGAAGCATTTCATAATGTTTTCTGAAAACGCCCTGCAAACTTAATGGAAGGTATGCACTTCCGTCACTTATCAGCTGGTGTTCAAGAAAAGAAACTAGTGATCACTTAATCACCACCTATTCTTTAATCCTGAGAAACATTCATTCATTTATAATCAAAGAATTTGTTTCCAATGCCTTGAATCAATTTCAATTAAATTTTGTGCCGCTTGTATTTTTTTAAAAGTGTGAGTAAAACATCTTTTTCCATTTCTCAGCTGAATGATGATCTGTTCCTAGCTTCTCACCATGTAATTTCCGATATAACAATTTTATTTCTCTCTTCCCATCTTATGAGCCATCCATCAGTTGGCACAAAATTTTCTCCTAGTATTTTGGTGCATTCTACAGCTTTTGTGGTCAAAAGAGCTCTAGAAATTGAAACATTTTTTAGTCTCGTAGCTTGAAACCATTCTAGAAGATGTAATAATGTCTCTCGATTTTCCATAGTCTTTGCGTTTCCACGAGACATTTGCATTTCATTTCTGTCTTTAAGTAAACATTGCTGTTTAGGAAATCCCCATTTTAAAAGCTGCCTCTCTTTGACTGCATTTATTAAACGTATCATAATCTTTCAGCAATTTATTTTCTTTCAAGCTTAAATCATTTTGTTTAGGCATTTTCAACATGTTGCAAGTTATACACACAGCAAATAAAAACTTTTCTTTCCAATAATTTGTTCAAATCTAGAATTTTTTCTTCCCAGCAGGAATACTGCACCTTTATCTGTCAAGTTGGCCTGTCGCTTCATGCTTATTGCAGGTACAATTATTGCTTTCTTTTTTTTCTTCGGTCTACAGTGATCACTTCCCTTTTCCAATCAAAGACTGATAATGTATGATAATGCAAGGAAGCATTTTATTATCTATTCGGAGAACATCCTGCAAACTTAATGGGTATATGCACTTCCATCCCTTATCAACTGGTGTTCAAGGAAGGAAAGTGATCACCTTTTCTTTAATTCTAAGAAATATTCATTCATTTACAATCAACGAGCTTTTTCCAATGCCTCTAGAAAACTGCTTTGGATAATCATTAAGATAAAAGTAATCTGTTGCTCTCAGCTCTAGTCCACATAGAGATTTGTAAACAGTGTCTTACAGCAACTAGGGAAGTCTACCCAACACCCAGGAGGTCTTGATTCTAACTTCACTGGCCAAAATTTCTGCAAAATCTGTTAATACCGAAGTCCTACATAATTCAAAGATAAAAAACTACGAATAATTTATTCCAGATCTGAGTTTGGTAAGTGGTTTAGATTAATTTAATAAATGTTTTTCTATTCATTATATTCGTTTTGGTTTCTGAAAATTTGAACAAGGTGGTGGGCACTGTAATTATTTTATTGCTGATATGGAGTGGCTTGATTGATGCAAAATACTTTTTTTTCTGCTCACACTGCATAATCCTAGTGTGGAAATTTCAGCCTCGAAGATATGCACACTCTGGATGACCATCCTGTAAGAAGACGCTATTG